TGTACTTTGCTCCTACTCGCTTGCTCTGTGCTGCACTATCCACAAGTTCTACCCCTTTCGAGATCAGGAAAAGCAAAGAAATTGACGACTGCACATGACGTCTTAGGTTGAAATGGTGCGTGTAGTTGCCCGTCTTTTCATAATTTCTGGTCTTAGGTCCATTGCAAAGTTAGCTTACCCGTTTGCCCGTATTTGTACCATTCATCGTTAGCCCTCTCCATGCTCCTTACTCCTTTTGTTTTAGGCGTTATTGTGTCGTTTTCCAGATTATGCGGAGGGCACATCTGCATAGGTATGGCTAGACCTTTCAACTCACCAGGTATTTGAGCCCTTCTAGAATCTGCTTTGTGTAGAAGGCAATAGCAGGCTCATTGTTGTTCAGTGGACCCCACTTGGAACGCAGCAGCTGGGACAGACTCCCTGCATGCACACAAAGAAAACTTTGCCATCTGTCGAAGAATTTGATGGAACCCGCGCGTTATTTCAAATTATTCACGAGCTTGAATTGAGAAAACTGGAATTGTCAAGATTGTAGTGTACAACGATTTAGGGGAAGTCCCCAAGCTGGAGAATGTTTACGCAACAATAAATTGACTTCTGCCCAAAACGAAATGCAATTCGCACTCATCCGAGATGGAGGTCGATGTATTCTTGCAAAAGAAAAAAAGAACATGAGCGGTTACGAGTGGGAGGGGGCGGTTTCCTCACCCCCGGGCACCCTCTCCATGCAGATCTTGACGTAGCCGTCCTCGCTGAAGGAGCCATGGTAGCGGACGATCTTGCGGTGCCGCAGCTGGGAGTGGAGCTTGATCTCCTCATGCAAGGGCTGCACCTCGCCCAAGTTCTTCTCGGGAATCTCCTTGACAGCAATCTTCACTTGGGTCGTCAGGTCCCGGGCCGCGTACACGACGCCATACGTGCCCTTGCCCAGCACGATGCGTCGCCCTTGGTCGTCCGTCTCGTACTCAAACTGCAGCCGCCAAGCAGAAACGGGCGTTAGGGCAGGTCCCCCCATTGTGGTAGACGGTGCTGTACACTCTCTGACCGTTATCGGGTGTGTGCAAAAGCAAATAGAGCGTTCCCAGCATTTTACATGAGGAATAGAATATACTCGGTACCACTGTCCTGAAAAAAAAAATTTTTCTGTTCATCCCCACGAGCTTCGCCGTCTTAATCGTCGCCGGCTGCGAGATGCAGCGACTAGAATGTGCACCTGAGGTTTTGGGATGTGAAAACACAAATAGAACGTGCCCAGAATCTGACAATGAGCATAAAACATTCACCCTGGAAAAGGCCACCAAATTTATCCATTGCCATTAACAGCTTCGTTGTCTTGTTCGGTGGTGGCTAAGAGATGCAAGCATTAGAATGTGCCTCTGAAGTTTCAGGCTGTACAAACGCAAATACGGTAAACTTCCGTTAATTCGACCTCGACGGGACCTTGAAATTTGGTCGAATTATCCGAATGATTGAATTAAAAAAAGGGCAAAAAAACGGTTAAAATTAAACTTCCTTTTATTGTCCGAAGTACTCACGTATGGTCTGCTGCCGTCTGCGCTTAAAACGCGTGTCCAAAGGCATGCTCCGGAAAGCAACGTAACTAAACGTCACGTCCCAAAAAAATCGCGCACAAACAAAAAAAAACAAAAGTTTTACGAGTTGACTTTAGCGCCAAGCAGCCAGACCGTCAGCGATAGAGAAAAATAACAAAAAAGAAAAAAAATGAAAGATGTTTACAATCCCCCTGTAGCGCCGAATCAGAGCACAGCTCTTGAAGAGGAGGAGGAGGGGAAGGTACGGAGAGGAGGTTATGCCCCTCCTCCTCTCCTTTTCACCTCCCATATAGGGAAAAATTTCCCCGTTAAATCTAGCGGAAAAATTTTTCCTTTAGCGAGGAAATTTTTTCGCTAAATTTAGCGGGGAAATTTTTTCGCTAAATTTACTGGGAAAATTTTTTCTGCTAGATTTAGCGGGGAAATTTTTCCGCTAAATTTAACAGGGAAAATGTTCCGCTAGATTTAGCGAGGAAATTATTTCCACTAGATTTAGCGGTGAAATTTTTCCGCTAAATTTATCGGGGGAAATTTTACGCTAAATTTAGTGGGGAAGCCTTTTCCGCTAAATTTAGCGGGGAAAATTTTCCGTTAGATTTAGCGGGGAAATTTTTTCCACTAAATTTAACGGGAAAACTTTTCCGCTAGATTTAGCGGGGAAATTTTTTCGCTACATTTAGCGAGGACAATTTTCCACTAAATTTAGCGGGGAAACTTTTTCCGCTATATTTAGCGGAGAAAATTTTCCACTAAATTTAGCGGGGAAAATTTTCCGCTAAATTTAGAGGGGAAATTTACCCATAATGCATCGCGTGGTTACGCCGACGGCGACGCCGCTCAAGCCGGAAACAAGCGCCTAAGAACTGCGCTCTAAAAAGAACCCACACTTTCCGGCGCGCAAGATGGACCGCACACGATACTACAGAAAAGCGCTCTGAGAGCGTGCGCAGAGAAAGCTCTATGAGCCGACTTTGGTGCCGGATGGCCAGGCCGTCAGCGACAGAAAAATAACAACAAAAGAAAAAAATGAAAAAAGAACCCGCACTTTCCGGCACGTGAGATGGACCGCACGCGATGCTACAGAAAGCGCTTTGATAGCGCTCACTGTCTCCGCACCCGACCACGTGCTATGTTCTCCCTGCTACTCCACGCCAGATTGGTTGCGCTGGCTCGTGTCATTCGCTACGGTCCATCTCAACGGCGTAGAGAAGCAAACGCATATTTGCAGACGTTTGGTTTTGCAGCAAAGGGCCCGTGTTTCGCCGTACGTTAATGGTTTTTCTGCTGTGGTGCCATGCAAAGTGAGACCGTGCGCATTTGCTCAAGACGAATTATTCGATGCGGAGTCTTCCCGAGTTCGAACTATCAAAGTTTTCCTCTCATAGAAATGTATGGGCGCTCGCCGGACTTTTGAACATAATCGGATCAAACGAAAAGTCGAATTAACCGAGGTCGAACTAACGAAAGTTTACTGCAGAACATTCCCAGTATTTGATAATGAGAACTAAACATTCTCAAAATCAATGTCCTGAAAAATATATATATATTTCTGTCCTGAAAAATATATATATATATTTCTGTTACTAGTGGCTTTGCTGCCTCATTCGCTGCTAGCTGAGTGATGCAGCCACTAGCCTTGCTAATGCATCCAAAATGTTTTTTTTTTTTTCTCAAGGACGAGTAGGGCCTGCCCCCCTCCCCCTCCTAGCTCAACAATAAAAATAAATGCCCTAATTACGCTATGTTCGATCATGAAACTCCCGACTTACACAAATAATACACAGCTTCCCCCTTACTTCACTAGATTCGGTTTTAACTCTATAATATCCATCTTATATGTGAAATCTAAGACATTTGCACACTCCTCAAAATGCCTCAAGCAACCTAAGCACTTCCAGGTAGCAAATTAACTCCCGAGGAGTATGAACAGCAAGCAGGTTCGCTTAGTCTCTCTGAAGTGGGCCCAGTCTCGGGAAGTTACCCCGAGGCAATGCTCTAAGACAGCAAGACCATAACACTGAATTTTCAGCATCACCTACCGGAGGCCAGCACTGGGCAGATTAGATGTAAGAGCTGCATCAGCATTTGGCTGTGACTACACTAGTTGCTTGTTCAGCGAGGACACAAGTACCAGCGGGACACTGATACAGCACTTCTGTGTCACGCACTGGCCTCCAGTAGTGGATGCTGAAGACTCGGCACTACAGCCTCGCCATCTAGAAGGTATTGCCCAGTGATGGTGCAACCTTGAGGATAGGGGATGGAGGGTGGTTGCATCGACTCGATCGCAACCCCGGCAGTCACCTGGACGCAGCCCGAGCCAAGGTCGAGGTCGATGTCCGTGACCATGCCCTCCTGGTCGGCCGTCATGATCAGGATGAGCTCGTAGAAGCGGTTCTTGAGCAGCTCCGACGGGAAGAACATCTGGAAGTCGTCCGAGTTCTGGTGGACGTACAGAAACAGGCAGCGCTCGTCCCGCTTGTACTGGCTGCAATGAGAACAAACTCGCATGGGCAATGGAAGAGACGTGGGGTCGTGTGCCTAGGTACTTCTCACAATTAAATCAATATAAAGGATGTTCCAGCTGACTTTCAAAAGTAGCTAAAAATAAGGTGGTTGAAAAGAAGAAAAAAACTTTTTCCGGGAACAATCTGCTAGCCACGGTGGACGGCAGGGATTGCAAGAAACATACTAGTTAGCTCAATACTTAAGTAGAATTTACTACATAACATATTAATTATTGAAAATAAACATATGGTTCGAATTAGAAACTTTGTGGGCATCATCAAAAACCACTAAATCAACCCATTTTAGAAAGATATAAGGCAGGTACAGCATTTTACAGCATTCTAAAAAAACTCAATTTGGACGTGTTTCTAGGTTTCAATATTCTATCGAAGCATATCTTTGCGCAAGTGGTCCTGCTCCCCCGTGGCCGCGGCATGAAGCTAGTGCCTCGCCTCCCTCGTAGAATGGAAAGAAGAATGGCGCACGTGTTGTACTTCTCGGCCGCCGGGAGTCAGGACCGCTGGCAGCCTGACCCCCGGCAGTATGTGAAGAACTGTGACCATGTCACAGTTCTTTACATTCTGTCGCCTGGGCCGCTGGGTCCCTATGGTCTGAGTCCACCAGAGTGTTGGGTGCGGCCCAGACGACAGAATGTGAAAAACTGTGACATGGTCACCTGGAAAAGTGTTCGCCATTTAAATCATGAACAAAGGTTTTCCTGGTGTTCTGGAGGTCGCTGTCACTTTGGACACCATGGCCAGCCATCAAGCTTAGGCCTCACCCCCTTCTTTTTTCTTTTTTTTTCTTTTTCTTTTTTTTATTTCTCTTTCTCTTTTGCTCCTTCTTTAACTGACAATTTCTCATGTTTTTGCAATCCCCAACGTCCGCCGTGGCTGGTAGTTTTTTTTCCTGGAAAAAGTTTCTTGTTTTTTTAACGACCCTATTTATAGGGATTTTTTAAAGCCTTCGCTGAAACATCCTGTATAGTCATGCCCCACCAGGAACCGAACCCAAAACTTCTCGGTCCACAGCCTAATGCTTTACCTCCTGCACTAGCTGCATAACTTTTTAAGTGCACAGGCTTAGATGTATACTTTATGTCTCCCACTAGTTACCACAAGACTCATACTAGCACATGACGATGTTGTAGAGGAGGGTGACGTCAATTACAGTCAAACCCACTTATTAACGATCCCACACATAACGACCTATCAGTTATAACGACCAGCTTTCAGAAAATATATGAATTCAAGGCCCTACCCATTAAAATTGGTTCAGATAAAACAACCGTTTTTCAAAGCATCATACTGTTACAACAGACACAAAGTCAGCTTTCTGAAGAAAAAAAACAACAATTCCCGCGCGCAAAAAAGCAAAAAAAAAAAAAGATAAAAAAATATGACCGCATCTCCACGTGATGAATGATGTTGATTGGGGCGAAGCTCTGGTGGTGCTGACGATACTGATTTTATTGTTCATAGGTAGTGCTGATGGTGCTGATTTTTTTTTTATTGCTCGTAGGTAGTGCTGAGTTCCGGGTTGCGTTTCGACTTCATTATTAGTGCTTTATGGTCGGTGAAATGCAGAGCCAGTGGTTCTTCTAGCGGATCAGCTTGGATCCGCTAGAAGCCGTGGGAACACATCTCCACCGCTTAAGTCAACGGTCCATGTCAGAAAGAGAATGTGCGGTATGGAACGTGGTTATATACGCATTTGAGCATTTGACCGCAGCTCCCTCTCGTCTATAAACGTTGAGCCAATGCATGCAAAGTTTAACGCGACTATATACGCATTTGACCGCCCCTCCTGTATAGACGTTGAGCGGCTACATGCAACGTTTCATCCATGACAGAAACCCCAGCTCTTGAGTTACTACCACATGTCAGAGCACCCTACTCGTCTTGCAGTCGTGGCCGAGTGGTTAAGGCGATGGACTAGAAATCCCATTGGGGTCTCCCCGCACAGGTTCGAATCCTGTCGACTGCGCAAACATTTTTTTATTTTTATGTGAGCACGGACGCCAAACGAATGGACGGACGGACGGACAAGGCTAGACCCTAAGGAGCTTTGCCCCTAAAAGAGTTACATTTTGGGCGCGGTGCTCTAGGAGAAGCTCAAGGTCATTTCCACGGCCGTGTGGCAGGGGAGGAAACAAAACTACAAAAGCAAAAATTCCCTCCCGGGGGGTCATGTAGTCTGCTGATTGTGCGTGCATGGGAAGGAGAAGAGGAGGAGAAGGAGAAAGTCAACTCTCACCCCTTGCTGCATTCGTTCATTCTCTGTTTGCAAACTCTGTATTCAACTCAAGAAAAACTCAATGCTCGGTAAAAGTTGGCTAGCCCCATCATCAGCGTGACCGTTTGTTTACGTTTGCCATTTTGGTATCCGTACCATGAACATTCTCTTGCGTTACTGTACTGGCATCTACGGACTTAGGTCTGTCGTTTTAAGAAGGAGGGAAAAAAATCCAGTAGGAAGCTTTATTTAAACAAAAGGGCATTACGCTGGCGAAGAAGGATAACAACAGAGCAGCACTGCGTGGCCTCGCAATCCCAGCTACCCAACGAGCTCGCAAACTGTTGTTTGAAAGACGACCCTGCCAGAGGCAACGATCGCGCACTCGTACATGCGCAGGAAGCCCAGCACTTAAAACGCTTTAGATCAAAGAAAGTATTAATTACCTCTGTAGACAGTGAAGAACCATCATGGGACTAGTGCACGGCATTTATTTTTGTGTTGGCGTGCGTTTCATAAAATCTGTTTTATGAGGTATGTGGTCAATCTTCATTATTTTACTTGCGCAGTAGAATCCGAGTTACGGGTTTTAGTTGAACCAGTTCCTTCCTCCCTTCATGTTCTTTTTTTTCGTGTTCAGCTGACCCGATTGCCAGCAGTAGAATTGGCAGCAATTTATTTTTTTATTATCTGAAAGCTAAATCTGCCTTCATGTTAGAAATGGAGGCACGTTAGTATCGTGCAAACAGTTTTTTTTAAATAAAGAGCTGGCAGAGGGAAACTACCAATACCAGCTTCATTATCCTTATTACAACGTTTCAAAGGCAAGTCCAGATATAACGAACTACTGATAAAACTACCACTTTTCGCGGAACTATCACGTTCGTTATAAGTGGGTTTGACTGTAATAAACAGTATGTCGTTCTACCCAAAACAACTCTTTAACGTTTTCTAACCAAATTTAGACACTCACTCCTTCTACACTGCATTCCATGTACTATAGGACTTGGGAGATAAAGGTCACTGCCAATTTTTTTATACAGCTGTTTTCCTTTGCAGACAGGAAGCATGTCATGTCTGACGCTGCACACCGTGCTTTCCTTCCCTCTGTCTCCTGTCACAGAGATTTCCCGACTGTGTGAACAAAATAGGAAACAGTGGCTTTTCCAGAAAAGCAGGTCCACTTATGCCACTTCTCTTCCAGCTTGCGTGCATCTCACCTGATGCTCCGAATGGAAGAGGCGTTGAAGAGCCACTCGTGGATCCGCTTGCACTTCCCCTTGAGCGTGTCGATACAGAGGTTGCAGATCTCGATGGACTTTTCCTCTGCACCCATGTTGACTGTCACATAGCTAGGCATCAGCACCTTCGTTGGCTCCAGCACCAAGATCTACGGGGCAGAAGAGGTCACGGTCAGTTACTTGGTTCTTCGCAGCTTCACAGGAGACCCAGCATGCCGTGAGTTTTCTAAACAATCTATAATTCCAGGATGCTTTCTCAATTGCAAAGCCCAACATAGAAACTCTGACTTCTGCGAGGCAGGAGATCTTTCTAGCCTCCCCCACTTGCCAACTGTGGGGTGTAGCGAAGGAAAGAGAGGAGAGACTAGGAAAAGATGCCATGGTTCTGCACACTTTCTTCTTACGGGAAAAGAGGTTAAGCTCTTGGGGGACGAGGGTGAAAAAAAAAGAAGGGTTTAGGAGAGGAGTCAAATAAAATGTAGACAATATAATGAGAAAACTTAATCCTCAAGTATAAGGTACCCAAGAGAGGGAGTTACGATCCAGAGAATTAGGATGCCACACCAAACACCATTATGTGCCCGTTGTTGCAGGCAGGAGGAAAAATGTTGTGAAAAGATGCCCTTCAGGAACCAACAAAATTAACTCAAATAACTCAAGACATTTTCATTAAGTGTAAGCAGGTTCCTTCTTCTGCATTCTTTTAACCTCTAGGGACTTTTAGAAAGTGAAAAAAAAAAGCCTTGGTTCTGGAGACTTTAAAAATTTATTGCATAAAGTAACTTGCTAATGGCCCAAATTTGTTATATACAGTAAAACCTCGTTATAACAAAACGGGATATAACAAAGCAATTATAATTCCCCTTGCTTGCTAATAGTGGGAAGAAATGGACATTGGCTATAACAAACTAATGGTTATAACGAAATAATTACGACCGCTCTTTCAACTTTGTTATAACGAGGTTTTACTGTACTCTAATTCATGATAACTTGGCGAACTGTGGAGGCTGCGGCCCCAGCGGCTCAATAAAGCATCGTAACAGGGCACAAGACAGCACTCCCTGATCAAGGTCACGAGGCCTCGTCACCACCACGGCAACAGTGCCATCTGCGACAAAAGTAGTTCTGGGCTTCTTTTCTTTTAATGGCAATTGAACTCGCGTGATTGCATCTCTATCGGCACTACGCTACATGACACAGAAGAAAGACGAAGACATGCGACTTTTCAATGATACTTAATTCGGATCAAGCCTTTTCCGAGAACAACGTGGCATTTGAGCGATGTTTGAATGGTCGCAGCCCCGTAATCAACCGCTTCCTCTCAAAACATCGACCTGGCATCAGCACCCACAACAGATTTCGCGGGTAAATTGAGCGTATTGTTGTGTCATGAAATGTTCCCAAAAAGCTCTCCACTCTAGCGGACGCTGCGGCAGCGGACGTTCATCCGAAGTTGGTTGGTTTCCAGGCAGACAACTCTTTACAAGCAGACAAGAACTGAATCCTCTAGGCCTTGCATTTGGCGCAGCAGCGTAAACGCTCCCGTGACGTGGTGTCACGTGCCTCGCTCCAATGCTCTTACTGGGTCGTGGCGGCCGTAACAGTTTACCAAGTTATCGTGTAACTGAGTATACTGTCAAAACCGGTTATAACGAAGTCGGTTATAACGAAATAGCGGCTACAGCAAAACAACCACGGTATCCCATTCCTATTTGCACTTTTTCAATGCATTTGTGTGTTTTAAAGTGCAGCGCTTAGGCGCCCGTTTCCAGGTTCAGCGGCGTCACCGTCAATGTATTAAGCTGCGTCGCCGTCAATGTAACCACGTGCGTTGCATTATGGGACGTCACAGTTTCCCCACTAAATTTAGTGGGGAAACTGAATAGGTGTTGAGGTCACGTAAAGTCAATTTTCCCGCTAAATATGGCGGGGAAACTTAACCCGGTAAATTTAGTGGGGACATTATCGCTACATTTAGTGGAAAAATTTCTGCTAAATTTCTGACTAAATTTAGTAGGAAGATTTTCACTAAATTTTCTCGCTAAACTTAGCGTAAAAATTTTCGCTAAATTTTCTGCTAAATGGGAGGCGAGGAGGAGAGGAGGGAACCGAGGGAGAGGAGGGGCATGCCCTTTCTTCTACACCCACCCCTCCTTCTCCTCAAAAGCTGCACTCTAATTCGGCATTACAAAGAATTGTATAATTGTCTTTTATATTTTAACAAAGGAAACTGGGCGGCTCCCGCAGATATAGTTAAGAGGTGTTTTATGATAATTTAGAAAATATTGAAATTCGGAAGTTTACTAAGTCTCAGACTGCCACACTTTGCTGCCGTGGCTGAGCAGCCACTCAGAACGCGCTGCGGACAATGCTGCAAAGGCTGCCAATGGCAACGTCTGCATTGTCGTCTGCCAGCCGCTTTTTATCTGGTAAGCGGCTTTTCCACATCACATGCAGAGATGACAGAGAAAGCCTCGATTTAAGAGAGGGAGCAACTCCAACCATTGAGAGCATTTTCAATTTAATGGCAGATGCCTCCTAGGCAGATTGGCACAAGAACGCTTGCATTTGGTTGTCGCATGGCCAGTGTGGCAAGGAAAGTGGGCGGAGAGGCGGACAGTTTTGCAGGAGGTGAATGCTTTTGAGTTTTGACTCCTTGCATGCTGCAGCTCGTTTTGCAAATGCAGCCCACAAACCACGTGAGCCTGATAGAGCAGTTGCCCCCTCTCTTAAATCTAGGCTCTCTACACCGACAAAAGAGAAGCTTTGAGCACGAACTCGGTACCCGTGCCGTGCGTGCTTCTTTGTCTGCTTCGTGTCCCCTGTCAGCGTCGCTGGTCGGTGTGGTCGCTCTTGCACAAAAGTGTAACTTCACTCAAGCACCGATTTAGTGAATCATTGCCACTTATTGATGGAGAATTTCAGCACCGCAGGCACCTCGACGGGGAAGACGAAGGCAATCTCCTTGAACCAAAACCATGCCATCCTCGACGAAGTGCGCATGAACGTAAAGAATGTTGTCCACTGCCGGCATCCTCCGCGACAGCCGTCGCAGCTGTCGACACGGTCCGTAAGTAGCTCGCAGGATCTTCTCTCGATCGGAGCTTCTCGCAGTTGGCGAGCAGCAGCTCTGATCTAGCAGAAAGCGTGTACACGGAAGCGTGGTACGCTTTCTGCAGGCACGATAAATATGTACCTGTGACGGCCCGCATTATCTTTTTTTTTTTTTGCCTCTTACTTTTATGGGTTATGATATAACGAAGAAGCGGATACAGTGAACCAATTCCCAATTCCCGTCGACTTCATTATAACAGGTCTCAACAGTAGTGGGTTCTTGCCGTAATGGCCCAAATCCTAAGCAAGAGCTAAAATGCTGCTAAAACTGGTGCTAAAACTGAATTGAACATTGGCTGTAACACACAAGTTCGAAGATGTGTAACAAAAAAAAAGTTTTTGCATGGACAAAGCAAGATTACAAGAAAAGGAATAAAAAAAATGAAAGACGTCTACAATTCTCTGTAATGTCGAATTAGAGCGCAGCTCTTAAGGAGGGGGAGGAGGGGAGGGAAGGTATGCCCGTGTGATTTCACGAGGGTGACTTCACTCGTGACCCTTGTGACGTCACACGTGGCGTCACGGCAAATAAACATTAAAATATGTTTCTGCATTTGCAGTACAAACAATCTCATGAGGCAAAGCATTCCATTTCCATTCCTTAAAGGTCTTGACAAAAAGTTAACTCTTACCCAATTTCGTCCCAGTGTGGAGCTCACATATTCTATGGGTATGGCCTTTTCGTTTGGATACATAATTGAGAGCTAAAAGGTAAGATGCACTATTAATTCCAGTGATCTAATATTGGATACTATTTTGAGGAGATAACATTGGTATATAGTATAAAAACTTGGGGGACATTTAAGCTTTGCCTTTAAAGGCCCGTTCACACTCTTGCGACCTCTTAAACCTGGGTTCCTTAAAACTTCTTAAACCAGAGAACACACTGGCACCATCTATTGGGAAGCAGTGTAAACTCGGCGGTCCGGCATATTTGTTTTTATTTCTCGCGCATTATCCTTTCTTTCTTGGCTCGAAAAGCTTTTGTCAATGTTATAAACGAGCCTTTCTGTGGGTATTACGCACATTTGACCTTGGAAATCCCGCAAAACCTTCGCTCTTGTGAAATGCAGTTCCAGGGTCACCGCATAGATGGCGCCACAATGTCAGTGTGTTCCCTCATTCTAAAAACATTTAAGAAGTTTTAAGAGATCTCGTCTCTCTCAGTCGTACTCGGTCGCAAGAGTGTGAACGGGCCTTAAGAGTTCAATGTGACAGCGTTATCACGCCCCGTTGCAAAGGCTTCTCACATAAACCCACGCTTATTCCCAAGTTGTGCAAGCGTGTGTGTGGTCTAGTTAATAGTGTCACGTGACGCATGACGCCACATGTATCTGTGATGAAATGACCCTATTCACTCACTAAATGTAACGAAAAATTTTCCGCCAAATTTGTTGGGAAAACTTTCCGCTAAATTCGGCGTGAAAATTTTTTTACAAAATGTGGCGGGAACTTTTTATTAAATTTGGCGGGAAAATTTTCTGCGAAATTTCGTGGGAGACGTTTTTTCTAAATTTGGCAGGGATATTTTTCGCTAAATTTGGTGGGATAATTTTCCACTGGATTTAGAGAAAAATTTTCCCGCCAAAATTAGCGAGTCGATAGGGTCATGACGTCACAGCCACATGCGCATGTTGCATTATGGGATTTTTTGGTTCCACCGAAACCGAATTTTCTGCGACACGAGCTCCTAAACACTATCGCGTTGAAACAAGGATTAAACATGGAAGGACAGAAAACAGACAGCACATTTTTTGCTATACATGTTCTGTCCTTCCATGTTGAATTCTTTCTTAAAGGGGTCATGAAACGCTTTTCCAACTTTTTCCTGTTTAGCTTTCCTCCTCAACTCATAAATCGCGCATTCCACCAAACAGCTAAAGAAGACGAAAAGGGGGAGTCTAGGGAGCCTTCAAGCGCACATGAAGGCACCCTAGGGGAGTCCCCTCTTGCTCGCACTCTCGTTTGTATAATCAAAACCGACGCCATATTTGCGGATAGAAGCCGGCACGCGACCGGCATGCAACGCGCGCGAACACATCTCCTCGACCTGCGATTGGTCTGTCGTTCCGGTTGTTTCCAACCTTTGCAACGCAGCGGAGGGACGCACGCACGTGAAAGACACGTGCGTGCGTCCTTCCGTCGCTATGGCAACTGAAGCCTCTCTCTTCGCTTCTCCCCGCTTCTTCGAGCAACCTCCGTGCCCCGCGAGTGCCGCTTGCGGCTAGCGCCGTTACCTAGTGTCACACAGGGAAGCCTGAGGGAAGCGTGCTCGCTGCGCCGGTCGGCGGGCTGTTCCAGAAACCGCACTATAACCGGTATTTCCCTTCGCGCGCCTGCATTTTAAGCGGTATGTAATTACATGGAGTTCTATGGGACGCGAACCGGTGGTTTAAAAAATCCGCGTTATACCCGATCCTGCACTATAAGCGGTTACGTTGTAAGTGGTCTATACTGTACGTTGCAAAAATGTTCTATTTCTATCTGCCATAGATGCTAAGATATCCCGCCTGCTAATCTGCAAGTCCAAAATTTATGCTTCAAGAAGACGCCGTTATAGAGCCAGCATCAATGCAAATTCAGCCTGCATAGAAATTATAAATTGATTTAAAGCTCAAATATACATCTACAAAACTAAAAGCTTGGTAGGTTTAAAAGTCAATAGCTGCAGATTTCACAATTGCTACTATTTCCAAAAGAATTTCACAAAACTGGCGTGTGCACAGCAAAGACAAGGACGAAGGAAGGAAAGAACACAAACAAGGAGTTTGTGTCCTATTCTCCCTTCGTCCTAGTTTTTGCTGCACACACACATGTTTTATGAAATGACAATCCAATTAGCCCCAACAGCCACTGTTCTTCCAAAAGGAGGTTGCTTTAGAAATTTTTATTTTACATCAAAGACCCATGTCTCCCCTTACCGTAGAATGTCGCGCATCCGTCAATTTTACACTAAGCACCCGTTCCCAAATTTGTAAGATCTGAGAAAATAGGTAAAGTACATTTATATAAAAAAACAGATGGCCGGACAAGCGCCCATTCCCCATTTTTTTGTGATTATCTCTAAAGTCTGAGTGGGCGCTTGCTCAGTATTTTACGGTAAGTTATTACAAAATTAGACACCTTATAAAAATTTTAGAGCCCTTCCACTTCACGTGAAGATGGAGGACCAGCGAATCTGTTATTTTTACGACGTCTAGGACGATGCCTAGAGGACGATGTCTAGGACGACCTCAAGGACGACTTCGAGGACAACGCCAGGAGGATGACGTCTAGGACGATTTCAAGGACAACTTCTAGGCCGGCCTAGAGGACAAAGTCTAGGACGACCTTGAGGACGACTTCTAGGACGACCTTGAGGACAATTGCCTAGAGGATGACCTCAAGGACGACTTCTAGGACAACCTCGAAGATGATGTCTAGGACGATCTCAAGGACGACTTCTAGGACGATGCCTAGGCGACCTCAAGAACGACTTCTAGGACAATCTCGAGGACAATGCCTAGAGATGATACCAAGGGATCAGGACCTCACTATCTAATAATGCCAAGGAAAGCTGACTCACGCTGGTTGCCCCCCTTTTTATTTTTACTTATTCATACTTGCCACGACCAATGGGCAGTTTTCTGTCAACATCCGCGGACGCATTTTTTCCCAGATCCTAGTGCTGTAAAACTTTAAAAGTACTTTTTTTTTTTTGTTGGAGAGTCACTGAATTCTTTCCTATAGTAGGTGACAGGTTAAGAGTGAAGTGGAAGCTCCTTTCACCTCTTTTTATTTCAGCAAAGCAAACGGTGGCGAGGGAGTCGCCTCCTCTCCAGCGTTCGCTCCGCTAATGTGGGAAGAGGCCAGAAGGAGCTTCCATTTTACTCTTCACCTGTCACTGACTATATCTCTTTTATGATATCCCTAACACTTGCATAACAGTTGTACTGTCCCAGAACAAAGCAAGCAGCGCAGTTTTTTATCCTCTCTCGTTTTACCATGCAATTTCTTTGAGAAGGGTCCCAGATTGTCAAGATATACTGCAATATCAGACATAAATAAGTAAGCGAGCTCTTTTATAGTTTGAGACTCAAAGTTGACAATTTCAGGTTTCAGCACAAAAATCTATATGCTTTCCCAACCTTAATAACATTGTGCATGTGTGTTCCATATTCTATCAGCTGAAAGCGTGGCACTTGGGTAATAGGCAGTTTTTTTGTTGTTTTTTTTTGTATAGCTGCATTTATAATGGATATTAAGTTTCAAATGTATTCTTATTTTTTTCAAGTTAAACTAACATGGACACAATTTTTTTTACATTGAGTTCCATCATTGTATATGTACTGCTGCATAATAAGTAACACAACCATCATTGAACAATGGTACCTTTGAACTGCACACTGACATTAACATCATTAACAAATAAAAAATAACAATCCGAAACGGCCTTGCAGCCTCACAGCACAGAAGTTATGCCGTGAGGCTGCTTTGCAGCCTCATGGCATAGCATCAACAAAATGAAAAGTTTCACCATTCAAAACACTGGCGATGCAAGAACAGACATGCTTTTATCCACCTAAGATACTAGTGCTTATGTTTAAAGGGTAACTGCAAAGAAAAAAAAGATTTTTGAACAGCCTAATTGGGACAAGCATGTCACAAAACAAATCTTCTGCGAAAAAACAAATTTTTTTTTTTAGCAATATTTACGCGACAGGACGTAATTTAGTTGGAGTCGCAACGTCTCCACATTTAAAACTCCCGCTCTTTCGACGCGTGCGGAGTGGCTGGAATAGGCCACTCCGTGACGTAGAGCAGCCCCTCTGTGACGTATAATACCAACTTTCTGGCGCGCAATTTAAAACGGATGAAATAGCTGCAAACTAAAATCAGTCCTGCGCGATAAATATTGCTGTAAAAAATTTTGTTTTTGTTGGAAAAATTGTTTTGGTGACATGCTTGTCCCAATTAGGCTGTTTAAAAATACACCTTTTGTTCTTTGCAGTTACCCTTTAAGAACTCTAAATTGTGTAATAACAGTGAATGTGATGCTTTCCTACGGTCGAATACACCTTCAATCTGACCGTCTCTGGCAACACGCATAACTGTAGGTCACAAAAGAAAGACAGGCAAAGCGCATGATTCCGGGCAAGATAATGTGCTTGACGGAAATTTGCATAGGACTTTTTCAGCGGAAAAAAAAACATTGCCAGGAAAAAAAAACTTTCAGCCTTTCCACATAGGTGAAGAAGGATGACCAGCGAAGCTGTACTATGGTGGGACGGCCTCAAGGACAACTTCTTGGACGACCTCAAGGACGACCTCAGAGACGACGTCAATGGCGACCTCAAGGGCGATGGCTAGGACGACTTCTAGGACCTCAACGACAACGTCTAGGACGACCTCAAGGACGGCTTCTATGACGATCTTGAGGACATCTAGGACGACCTCAAGGATGACTTCTAGGACAGCCTCTCGGACAACGTTGAGGACGACTTCTAGGACGACGCCTAGAGAAATTCAGCCTTTCCACTCTGGTGAAAACCAGAGTGGAAAGGCTGGAAAGGTTGCCGCCATCTATGAACGACGGAGGCAATCAGACAACCGGCTTGGTTGCCGCCGTTGCTCATAGATGGCGGTAACTGCCCAGAGTTTTGTGTCCACATTTTTTGGTGACGGACACAAAACTGAGGATAGCCCTTAACAGCTCCGCTGTAACAAATATTTAAAAACCGGAGGGCGTTTTTTTTTTGTTTTTTTTAACAGTTTTTATTTTTGTCATTGGCGGATGTTTATTGGCGTTTTTCGGTTAAAACCAGAAATTATTCAGCATATTTATGATGTAGCAAAATAAAACATGTTACTGTAGTTTACAAAATGTCAACACTACAAAAATCAGTCTGTAATTTGTTACAACCTTCTTGGACCTCCTTTTGTGTACAGGCACCACAGGTGCCACTTTCTAGTGATCAGGATCACAAGCATGACCAAGTAGAAATGCTTCTCTGTGCATCTAGAAGTTTCGTGTTTATTCTTACCCCGAGCATAAAAGATATAGAGGCCAGAAAGACCTTGCCTAGTCAGTCTCGCCCCAGCTAACTCCCAAGCATTCGAGGTTGAATGTTCAAGACGACGAGTGTAGTAGATCAGGAGCCGAGCGCGGTCTTGCCGATTCATTCGCTGATGCAATCTCGCAATAGCCAGCTGCCACGCCGACGCACCGTCGCTCGCTGCCGCTCTCTCGACTTTGTTCTTCCTTTTGTTTCTGGCACAAGTTCGCCGATTAAACCTTTATTTTCAGTTCATTATTCATTGTCTCATCGTCTTCATCCGTGACAATACTGTAGAAGGATATGGGGCGATTGCATTCATGCACCATTTTAAAATTCTAGCTGAGATTCCACCTGTACCACTTATATGAAGCTACAAGACACCTTGTAAGCCCAGTTCTACTGGAGGCATTTAACCGCTATGGTGAAATGGTTATGCTTCCAACTGGCGAAAAAAAACTAACCGAAAACATTCATTGAATACATAAGCCTTTTGTCATCAGTAATTTCTTGATTATTGAACATTACATATGCTGTCCCATTCGATAATTACCACAGCACCTCATCAATCGTTTGTTGTTTTCATCTTATCCTCCAGTCACTGAAGGCAACCTTCTTTGCCTCTTTTAGGGGGTCAAATATATGTTCTTGAAATTTTACCTTAAAAGATTTTTTAATAATGTGAACCGAGAGCCAAACAAACCAAAAATAGAGGGAATCTTTCTATGAATTAATACCGTGAGCTAGGTATCTAAATTGTTCAACTCATTAGCACAAAAGAAATCCCAATGCAGAGAGTTACAAAAAGATACAAAAGCCCTAACAGAGAATTTTTAAGATACTCATCTCGTTCAATGCACCACACGGCAAGCCCTGTCTCTAGGGTGTATGGAGACTACACTATAGTTGCACAAAATATGATAATACTCACAGGAAATCGTATTGTACTCTCCAGATCGGAAGAATAGGCAGTGACAAAAAAGTCCACCCAGAAGTCAAACACCTGCATGAAACACAGCAAGCACAATATAAACTTGCAAGTTTGCAGCCAAGCAAGAACCAGAAAGTTAACAATACAATTTTCTTGCTCTTCAATTGTCTTAGCCTAATCCTTTCACAAATTCAGTCCAGAAAACAAAACAAAAAGCTGGAACCATCAGTAAAAGTATTTCAATGCTATGTACCAAAAGTTTTACTTCCTGGACATTCTGGAATTTATGCTTCACCATCAATAAAACCTTACAATGATTCCCAATCATTGACACATACAATGGTGGTTCTTACCCACAAAGGCAAGATCCAACAGCCTCATATTTGAAAGGTTTCAATGTGAGATTACAACTCATCTATGCAGCAAAGGGTTTTACTTAGGATGTTATATACAAGCAGCTACATTGCCATAGATGGGTGATATTTTATCTTAGGAATGTTGATTATGAGGACGTAAAAATATCTACAGTTTTAAAAATAATAAATTTACTCTACACTTATAAATATGTTTGAATTTTGTTGAGAAATTTGGACAATATTAGACTTATTTCTTTTTGAGGTTCAGTCTTGAGTATTTAAATGACATGCTCATGTAGTTCACAGAGACCCAGACAAAGAAAGACACTACTGTCGAGCTATGATTGCAAACACAATAGTGAATATGAGGAAAACTTCAGTGCCTTGCTATGGGTATGAACTCACAGACGCGCAGCTCACAAGACGTCATGTCGTGGTGTGGCAAAATGTTTTAATTTTATGCTTTACTCATGGCTCCTAAGCTTTTAATGAAACACCTAGCAAGGAAACACTTTTTACTCTGTAACAAGCGAACTTGTATTCAGTATGTGGGTGCCCCCCTAATAAAAAGCACTGGACTCCACTTTCTTCATGCAGCCTTTCTTAGCAACTATCAAAGAATGTTTCACTGCCTGTCGACACAATATAGTGAACTTGCCACACAGAGAATGCTGTTCCAAGTGAAGCCCATCGCCTCAAGACAGTCTTTCACAAGTATTATTTTCCACTTGGTAGACATCTCGTCCAATCCCGGAAGGGTGGCGATAGCGCATTTGACTCATCCCAATCTTTCTAAAGCAAGTCAAGTGATCCGGAGTGTGCTGTCTATACATACCACCCACGAAAGAATAAGAATGCTTGTTCGCCTTCCAATGCCATCAGAATTCGAGTGGGTCAATCTTGCGGCTGCCCCTCGGCGCGGCGCAAGCGATAACACAACACATTCACGCGGCCAAACTCATTGCTACAACAGAATGAGCAGTAGAAGTACAGGGAGGGGGCTCACCTGCTCTTCTGCTGTTCTCTCGGCGTCCTCCGGCCTCCTCCTGAAGCGACTGATGAGCCTTATGTTCCCAAAAGTAGACTTGAGGTACCTGGACCAAAGTTTCGGGCATGGTCAAGGTCACGCCATTGCGCCACATGCTTAACATCATCAAGTACCAAGCCGCCCATCTGTTCCCTCATCGCAAAAAAGCGAAGTGAAACGTGGATGGTATGTGCAATCGGGACCAACATGGTTGTTATTGCATGGGGAGTTGCTGAGGCTCTCAAACTAAATTCTTAGCAACATTCCCCACAGTGCCCTTGTGGGTTCCTCAAGCTCCCAAATTTCTATTATTAGCTCTAAATAATGTATTTTTCCAATTTCAGCACACTTTTAGCAGATCTGAGTCATCCATTGATGCACGACTATGAGTCAAACACCTTTGCTTACGAAGTCAGTAGGCTTCTACAGTATATCTTGCTTTGTTGCACCAACGCTAAGAGTGGGAGGTTCTCCTTGGCCCTTAGTCAAGTCAGTTTAAGCGTTCCTTGTAATAAAGTTTGAGAACCCCTAGCATACTTAGCTGTCTCTGATCAAAACTTTCTCAGAGTTCTGTACGATAGCATAGAGATGTCACATGCACCAGCATATGAAGTTGCTTCTAGATGCTTGTTTGTATACAAAGACAAGCTCTATTGCACTGTAGTAGTAATATCTACGCTGAAATTTGACTCTTAGGATTGATAATTCATGGTAATAAAACCCGAGACTCAGGAACACAGAAGGGGACGAACACAACAAGGCTCGAAAATTTACTGGTGCATAACCATTCAACAATCATCCTTAAAACTACTGAGGAAAGCATCGTAAGTTGACCCCTCCTTTAAACAAATTTTGTGTTGGATCAATGGCGAAATTGACAAGATTTGTTTGTGTTCTCCACTCTAGTGAAAATTCTTTTAAAAAATATTTTGGCACATATTGCCGCGCGCAAGGCTGAGAAAGCAACGCTCGGTCACGGTCCTCCAGAAAGTTCCCGTTTATTCATGTACCGCACGTAACTTCTATCATTTATCCCTGCTTTTGTTTTCTAGAAAGTGCGTGTTCATTCTCGCCCCGATCACGCGACGCTCGAACCGCTTTCGCCGAATCTTCGAGATAGCGGCGCACTCTAGATAAGAGGCCGCCCGCGACCTTGTCGAGTCAGTCTCGCCCTAGCGCTCGATTCTGCTGACACGCCGACTTCGACGCCCGCGACGCTCTGCTTTCTTCTGTTTCCTTCTTTATTTTTTTTGGCACAAGTTCGCCACATTAAAACTTTATTTCTTTCTGTTTATTTCCTGTTTTTTTGTTTGGTCACCACCCGTGACATTTGGTGGAGGTGCTGGGTACCGCATGCCCGTACAGCGTTCCCCTCCCGGGGCCCGCAGTGCAAGCCCGATTCCAAGCCCTGTGACAAGACCACTCAACGCGGAACCTGAAACTCGGACCAGTCGCCGAACCCAAGGTCTACACCCGGAATACGGACTTCTGCCACCCAGGACCAGGCAGCCTACGAGGCCGACGATGGACGACCAGCAATCGCAGTCCCCGACCGCCGCCGCCGTCGTCTACCTGCCTGTTGCCCAGCGAACCCCGACGACCTTCCATGGCGAGACCCACGAAGACGTAGAGGACTGGCTCCTGCACTACGAACGTGTAGCACGCCATAATGGATGGACCACTGAGCAGCGCCTCCAAAACCTCTACTTCTCCTTGGAGGGTACCGCGAGGCAGTGGTTCGAGAACCACGAGGCGTCGCTTACGTCGTGGGACACCTGTATCGCTGGCCTGAAGGAGACATTCACGAACGAGACACGACGACAGCGAGCGGAAGACCTCCTTCAAGTACGAACTCAAGGGCCCAACGAAACGGTAACCAGCTTCGTTGAAGACGTCCTCCGCCTGAGCAGCCGCGCCGACCCTCAGTCCACCGAGGAAAAGAAGCTGCGTATCCTGATGCGCGGCGTGAAGGACGACATTTTCGGTGGCCTCGTACGCAACCCACCGACGACGATTCAAGAATTTGTAACCGAGGCGACGAACATTGAGCGTGCACTGCAATCCCGAGCCAGCCACTACCAGAGGCTACCCGGCGTCAGCGCGGTTCCGCCGTCCGCTTGTGACCTTGGCTCCAGCATCTCCAGCATTCGCCAGATCATCCGGGACGTCGTCCGGGAGGAAATTAAGAAGCTCCTGCCTGCTACCCACCAGCCGGCTTCGGTGTCAATAGCCGAAGTTGTCCGCGACGAGGTTCAGCGGGCAATTCAACTGGAGGCTCCTGCCAACGTAGCTGCACCCGAGGAGCCCACCGTGACCTACGCCGCAGTGGCCCGACGGCCACCGCCTCCTCCTGGCGCCTATGTCGCGCCGCCCCGACGCCAGTCTCCTGCGCCGCAGCACGACCGACGCCGCGACGACCAGCCCCAGTACGCCAGCCAGGAGCCCCGTGTACCCCGGAAGACCGATGTGTGGCGAACGGCCGACCGACGCCCGCTCTGCTACCACTGCGGGGAAGCCGACCATGTGTACCGCCGATGCCCATACCGACGACTCGGGCTGCGCGGATTCCACCCAAACGACCCGCGCCCCCGGTATGGTGAACGCCCTCGGGAGATCGACGAGTACCTGCGACGACCCCAGTCCCCCGAGCCTGCGTCCCGCCGAGAGTTCCGGTCGCCATCGCCCCGACGTCCAGCTTCGCCGATGCACCGACCCCGACGTGAAAGCCTGTCACCCCTCGCTCCTCACCGGGGAAACTAGGCGCGGCAACCCCTGGAGGTGGAGTTGCCGAAGACAACCGACGTAAAGAGCCTCCAAGAACGACGGAGCGCTCCCACTCTCCCGACCCCAAGCATCACAACGACGCTCCTGCATCGGTGTCTAACAACCTGAACGTTGTGATCGACGGCCTCGACGCATCGGCACTCGTGGACACCGGAGCAGACTACTCAGTCTTGAGTGGGAGGCTCTCCCGCCGCCTTCGAAAAGTCATGACGCCGTGGGAAGGACCCCAAATACGAACCGCCGGAGGACATCTCATCACACCAGTCGGGAGATGCACTGCTCGCGTCGACATCCACGGTGAAACGTGCCCTGTCAAGTTCGTCGTTCTGCAAGACTGTTCGAGGGACGTTATCCTCGGAATGGACTTTCTCTGCGAGTATGGCGCCGTCATCGATCTCGGAACAAACCGGCTGACGCTACGAAAACCTGCTCCACCAGCGGAGGGACCCCAAGCGACGTCACCCACGGTCCGAGTCCTCGCAAACCACGTAAACCTACCACCGCGGTCGAGTGTTTTCGTACTTGTCGGGATCGATGAAGCTTCCTGTGGCGAAGTTCTTCTCGAGGGAAGCCTCCAATTGCTCCTGGGAAGAGGCATAGGCGTCGCAAGGGGAGTAGCTGAACTTCAGGACGGGCGGACTGTGGCCCTCGTGACGAACTTCCGAAACGAAACGCAACACCTCACAAAAGGTGCAGCCGTGGGCCACATCGAGAAACTCCGAAACCCCGCCGAAATCACCGCGATTACTGACGAATCCTCGCCGCCCCAGCAAGACAGTACATCGCCAGCGCAGCTCGACATTGACCCTAAGCTTCCGGACCCTAAACGGCGTCAGCTGGCTAACCTCCTCGCCGAATACCGCGACTGCTTTGCGACGTCGTCGAAGATGCGCCAGACCGCGGTTGCCAAGCACCGCATCGTTACCGAGGACGACGCGCGCCCTGTGCATCGATCGCCGTACAGAGTCTCCGCTAAGGAAAGGGAGGTGATCCATCAGCAAGTTCAAGAGATGCTGAATGACGACATAATCCAACCTTCAAGCAGTCCATGGGCCTCTCCAGTCGTGCTGGTTAAGAAGAAGGACGGAACTCTTCGGTTCTGCGTGGACTACCGGCAGCTCAACACGGTTACGAAGAAAGACGTCTACCCACTCCCCCGCATCGACGACACTCTAGACCGGCTGCGCCACTCTCGATACTTTTCATCGATGGATCTGAAGAGCGGCTACTGGCAAATCGAGGTCGACGAACGGGACCGAGAGAAGACAGCCTTCGTCACGCCGGATGGACTGTACGAGTTCAAGGTGATGCCCTTCGGACTATGCACGGCGCCAGCAACTTTCCAGCGTGTCATGGACACCGTGCTGGCAGGGCTGAAGTGGCAGAGTTGTCTCGTCTACCTTGACGACGTCGTAGTATTTTCAGCTGACTTCGACGAGCACTTGAGACGACTCCGAGCTGTTCTTCAAGCCATTCAGACCGCCGGACTCACACTCAAGCCGTCAAAGTGCCGGTTCGCCTATGACGAACTGAAGTTCCTTGGCCACGTGGTTAGTAACGAAGGCGTCCGCCCAGACCCCGAGAAGACTCGCGCCGTCGCGGCATTTCCAGCGCCGACAGACAAGAAGGCCGTGCGAAGATTCCTTGGACTTTGTGCCTATTATCGACGCTTCGTTCGGGATTTCGCAAGGATTTCCGCACCACTTACGAATCTCACGAAGGACGCCGAGAAGTTCGAATGGGCCGAGGAGCAACAGCAGGCATTCGACGAACTGAAACAACGACTCCAGACTCCTCCTGTGCTTGGACATTTCGACCAGGATGCGGAAACAGAAATTCACACGGACGCAAGTAACGCGGGACTGGGCGCAGTACTAGTCCAAGTGCAAGAAGGCATCGAGCGAGTCATCGCCTACGCAAGTCGGACATTGTCCAAGGCGGAGAAAAATTACTCCACGACTGAGAAAGAATGCCTTGCGGTCGTCTGGGCAATAACGAAGTTTCGTCCGTACTTGTACGGGAGCCCGTTTCGTGTAGTCACGGACCACCACTCGCTCTGCTGGCTTGCGAACCTGAAGGACCCGTCAGGACGCCTCGCTCGATGGAGTCTTCGACTACAAGAGTTCAACATGACAGTGGTCTATAAGTCAGGCCGCAAGCACAGCGACGCCGACTGCCTGTCCAGAGCCCCCGTTGAAACCCCTTCCGGCTGCAGCGACGACAATGACGACGAGTGCTTCCTAGGAGCAGTGAACACCGACGATATGGCACGACGTCAACGGGACGATCCTGAGCTGCGCGCATTAATCGAGCACCTGGAAGGGGGCAGGAGTATTGTGCCACGTGTCTTCTCACGAGTACTGCCGACCTTCGCCATCCGACAAGGTGTACTCTACAAAGAGAACTTCGGGAACAACAACTCGCCGTGGCTGCTGGTAATCCCGACCGACCTTCGAGGGGAGATCTTTCAAGCATGTCACGACGACCCGACGTCCGGACACCTTGGATACAGCCGGACACTGGCCCGTATTCGTGAAAAGTATTACTGGCCCAAGCTCCCCAAGACCGTCCACCTGTACACACGATCATGCCACGAGTGCCAGCGACGCAAGAAACCTCCGACGAGGCCGGCCGGACTCCTGCAGCCTATTTCTCCTCCAACTGCACCCTTCCAGCAGATCGGAATGGATCTACTTGGTCCTTTTCCGCCTTCGACGTCGGGGAACCGCTGGATTATCGTCGCCACAGATTATCTCACGCGGTACGCCGAAACGAAAGCTCTTCCTTCGGGGACTGCTGTGGAAGTTGCCAAGTTTTTCATTGAGTCCATCGTCCTCCGGCACGGCGCTCCAGAAGTTCTGATTACAGATCGCGGATCATCGTTCATGGCACAACTGACCCAAGAAATCTTCCGACTCAGTCACACCAGCCATCGTCGTACAACTGCGTACCACCCACAGACCAACGGGCTGACGGAGCGACTCAACAAGACAATCGCCGATATGATCTCTATGTACGTCGACGTAGAGCACAAGACGTGGGACGAGGTGCTGCCCTACGTCACGTTCGCCTACAATACGGCGGTTCAAGAGACCACTGGATTCACCCCTTTCCAGCTGGTACATGGTCAGAAGGTAACGACCATGCTGGACGCCATGCTGCCCCATGAGCCATCTGACAACGAGAGCGACGACGCCCAGGCGGTTGCTCAACGCGCCGAAGAAGTTCGCCAGCTCGCCCGACTCCTGATTCAAGACCAGCAACGCGTCGACGCCGGCCGCTACAACCTTCGTCGCAGGGACGTCCACTTCCAGCCCGGAGATAGGGTGTGGGTATGGACGCCCATCCGTCGCCGCGGCCTCAGTGAGAAACTGCTGAAACGGTACTTTGGACCATACAAGGTACTTCGTCGCCTCGGCGAGCTGAACTACGAGGTGATGCCCGACGGAACACGAACATCGTCACGCCGCCCACCACGACCTGAGGTCGTCCACGTCGTGCGCCTGAAGCCGTACTACGCTCGATAGGACTATGGACCTTTTGTGCTCCAAAAGACTCTTTAGTTTATCGTTCTTTTTTATTTTGATTTGTTTTACACTGCATCGGGGCGATGCACTTTTAAAGGGGGGAGTAATGCCGCGCGCAAGGCTGAGAAAGCAACGCTCGGTCACGGTCCTCCAGAAAGTTCCCGTTTATTCATGTACCGCACGTAACTTCTATCATTTATCCCTGCTTTTGTTTTCTAGAAAGTGCGTGTTCATTCTCGCCCCGATCACGCGACGCTCGAACCGCTTTCGCCGAATCTTCGAGATAGCGGCGCACTCTAGATAAGAGGCCGCCCGCGACCTTGTCGAGTCAGTCTCGCCCTAGCGCTCGATTCTGCTGACACGCCGACTTCGACGCCCGCGACGCTCTGCTTTCTTCTGTTTCCTTCTTTATTTTTTTTGGCACAAGTTCGCCACATTAAAACTTTATTTCTTTCTGTTTATTTCCTGTTTTTTTGTTTGGTCACCACCCGTGACAATATTCTGATACACGTAACAAAGCCCACAAAAATTAGTCATATCCACCAAAACCAAGACTTCTGCTGAGAATCAGAGAGATAAACAGGCTGTTATGCTTTAGTCGAGCTCAGTACAGACAGCTTCGAGACACAAAGGCTGCATACAAATTCCCATCCTCTCCGACTTCACATGCAATACCAGAAGCAGGACTCGTTCATTCTCTGCTTGATCAATTTAGAGGGCAAGAAATCGTCTACCCTGACTTGGTCAGTATTGTTCAGAATAACCCACCCGTTCTCTCAACACATTCTAATGTTTATTACACCAGGATGAATTGGTAACTGAGCGTGTTAGGACAACACAGCTCGGAGCACGTGGAGCGAAAGCTCCCACTGCAGAGCCCGGGACCCTGGGTTTAAACCTCACTCCTCCCCACCTTGGCCTGGATGAGCATTGTGCCAACGTGCAGTGGTGCGTCACTACTGCGTGACAAGCATCGAAGATCTCCCAGGCTAGCAACAATACCGCACTGGCTAAATTTCTCATCTACAGCCGAGACACCAGATGCCTATTGGGTTGACTAACTTCCCCCTCTGTCTAAACAAACACACAACACAATTTTGTTTTACATGTCGTGCGGACACGGAGCAGTTGGGGGCGAGACTGACCAGTTTGGGGGCTTGAGGCGAAACATGCACTCAGCAGCCTGGATGGCCTTGGTGTAGTTCTCGGCGAGCACGCTGATCTCGAAGAAGGTCGCCACGTCCCAGTAGTCCTCCAGAGAGTCCAGGCTGCCCTTCAGCCCGATGAGGTTATTCAGCCGCAGGCTGATCTGCTGCAGCTCGGAGGACTTGGACAGCTCGTGCCCGTCGATCACCAGCAGCGTGGCCAGGTTCACCCCCGCATACTCGTTGGGCTGCACCTCGAAGCCCTTGCGATACCTGGACGCACACAAGGCGACGGGGCATTCGGCCCACTTCAAACAAGGGGACAGCGTAGTAAAGTAGGAAAGCGCAAAGACTTCAAATACAAACTGAGTGCCATTTGGCGATCGATCAGTTTTCCAAAGCATTTTAAAATGTAGAGCCTTTTGAATAGCGCTGGCAGAAATTCCTACAAAGCACGACGTTAATTGCGGGCATTTTCAGTTCACCAGAAAGTCAAATGGAATCGCGCCACTATACTCTGTTTCACGATAATTCGGCAAACTGTGGAGACAAGGGCCCCGCAATCCAATAAGGGTGTCGGAGCGAGGCACGTAACCTGACGTCATGGGAGTATTTGTTTCACCACGCCAAATGCGAGGCGTGAGGCCCAGAAAAACCAGCTGTCGTCTGCTAGCCAAGAGTCATTTGTTCCGAAACCAACCAAATTCGGATCACCTCCACCGCAGCGACATATCCGTCCACTAGAATAGCGAGCACTTCGGAAGCAGCTCATGAGACAACTATATGCTCAATTTAGCGGCGAATCTGTGACAGGTGCTAATGCCAGGGCACAGTGTGATGTTTTGAGCGAAAACGGCCGATTACACGGCTGTGATCGCCGATGATCGCTAACGGCCACAGCGCTACAAGGCGAAGAAAAAATCGAGCGGATACGGATGTGGCGTCACTGTTTTGGTTTAAACATAGGTAATTAAAACTCATAAATTTGTGATTATTTATTCCCTATTCTTCATATCTTCTCCTTATAGATGGAATCGCGCGAGTTCAATCGCCGTTAAAAGAAAAAGAAGCCTAGAACTACTTTTTGCTGCGAAGGGCTCTGTTGCTGCGGCAATAAGAAGACCCCGGTGGCCTTGACCATGAAGTGTTATCCCGTGCCTTGCTCCGGCGCCCTTATTGGGTCGCGGAGGCCGCAGCCTCCTCAGTTTGCCAGGTTATCATGAAACGGAAAATAGCGTTGACAGCTTTACACTCTATGTTACCTCAACATGTATAACATAAAGCATGGGTCTCATAAACCGGGTTCCTAGAAACTCGGGGTTTCTTCAAAGCCATCGGAAATTCCCTGAGCTCCAGAACCCTTCGACTGTCCCTGGCCCCGAGTAAAGTGTTCTCCTAGCATAACCAATCTTTAGAAGATCTTAGCCATACATTGATGCACGAACGTATGCGGCAAACATTCCCTAGCACGTGCATTATTCCTCGCAACATCCGTCAGTTTCCGCGGTGTGTTACCACATTGATGCCGACACCAGAAATAGTTCCTCGGCCGCCATTCAAGGAAGATGGGCATTCATCGGTAGAGCAAAGGCCCGAGAGGCAGCAAGCGAGTCGACCGTGCAAGGCCCGTAGCAACCTCTCTAGAAGCGGCACGTGAGCGAGGGTGCAGCCCACCAACCAATGGATGGCGTTGCGGAGGCTCTCCATGTCGGTGTAGTCTGACTCGACAAACTTGTCCTTGTAGATGCGGCCACACAGGCACAGGATGTCCGGCACCTGGTTCTCCTTCTTCTTCAGGGCCGCCGTCATCACCTCCAGGGCACGCTCCCGGTCACCCGGGCGGTTGCGTCTGAAGGCAAAGGCGGGGGCGGAACTCGGTCACTTAGCCCGACCGGTCGGACGTGGCTTTCTATCATGGTCGCCGACAGTTTAAGGAACGGAGCGTGTGGCGAGTCGTGAGCATCTCAAGGCCGCTCCGCGCTTGACTGCTTGCGACGGCTTACGAAGAGAAAATGCACTAACGCTGTCTACTGGGTTACCCCGGAAGGTTTCCGACCCGCAAGCATCTTGCGTGTCGTTCCCTCACCGTGGGTTTCAAGCGATCCCATTTAAGTTATGTGCCCTGTACCCAGAAGCCGTCGTGATACGATGCCTGGAAAACAACAGCTTAATGTACCTAGTCACAATTGCGACGTAATTTTTGTCGCGGCAAAAAGTGACTTTGGAGTAGTTGGTACGTTACAACAGAAACAAAATAGAGAAGTTGAAGAGGTGGATGTAGTATACGGCACCGAGTACAACTGACTTTCATTTTAAAAACAACGTGGAAATAAAAGCAAGGAAAGGAAACAAAACAAATAAAAGCGGTAGATTTAGAGTTGGTGGTGCTCTTAAAGGGACACTGACACCCCCCAAAAATTTTTTTTAATTTTTTGCCAGGCGCTTCATTATGGTGTCGGAGGACTACCCAATTAATATTTTGCAACAGAGTAGCGTATTTTTTTAATAAAGCCAAAAGACGCAACTGCTCGAAACCGAAACCCGACGGAGGTCGGAGAAGTGGAGAGAAGAGAGCGAGTGGCGGAAGTCACGTGGCTGCACCCGACCGTGTGTTTTTTTTTTTTGTTTTTTTTCTCCTTCCCGGTAGCAGACGACATGCGGCGTACGGGAACTGTTCGCCGTGGGATTCTTTTGCAGTTATGTATGTTCCGCTCGTTGTTCTGTACTCCAAGATGAGTTGTTTTGTATATATAGGAGTTGGAGATGAGTAGTGAGTGCCCGTGGTGAATTTTGATCGGCTCCGAAAAGAATACACCCAAGATGTTGCGTGAAGAGCTGGCTCACATGTCCTGCATCCGAAACAGAAGTGGCATTGTGCGACAGAGTTTCCGAAAAATCAACGGGATCGGGACCAATGGCTGGCTGCAATTCCTGTAGACCATTTACGGGCACCTCGGAAAGCGGACGCTACCTGATTTATATGCTCCTTGCATTTTGTGGAAAGTGATTACATTGAGTTCGCAGGTGTCAAAAAGGAAATCCCATACCATTTAATTCAGCGACGTGTCGTCCACAACATTTGTTTCTTTTTTTTTTTTTTTCTTCAGTGATAATTTTAAAAAAAGAAAAAAAAATGTAGACATCAAAAAACATATGAAAAAAAAAAAGGTTCCACGGGGGATCGAACCCGATCCTACGTTCGATCCTACGGCATGTAAAGCGGACGTCTTTCCCACTAAGCTACTGGGGCATATCAAAACTAGGGGATCTCTTTCCTTAGTAATAATTCAGCCGATAAACTGTAAGTTGGAAAGTTTGCTACCGATTTTCCTTTAGCAAAAGCACTCCCGGGTCGAAGTCGGGATGCACCCCGCATTGGCGACATTCTCACCTTGTAAAGAAATCGTACGCGTGCATATTCAACTCGAAGTAGACACGTCGTGCTTGACGTTTACGCGAGCGATGTCTTCAGCCACGAGAAGGGAGCGACGGCTCGGCGACGTCTTCGTGCAAATCGGCTTGGTGGTCGGGCGTGTCGTACGGGATGAAGACCAATTCTTTTGATCAGTCCCAAATTTCTCTTTTAAAGGCAGACAAAATTCTCCGGTAACGCGAACGACAGTTCTGAAATAGAGGTCCCACGCCCGTCGTCCGCTGCCATCGCGTCCCTGCGAGTCCCACAATACGCGAAACGACGCACGCACAGAATGCTTCCGGTTGTCTGTGAAACTTTTTTTTCGATCAACGTATTTGCAGCTTTTTAGAAGCCACAAAAAATGGGTTTCATATTTTTTTCTATTTTTAATATTGAGTGTGTGCCTTCAGTGACCCACGACTTTGATTAAATTTGGTGGTCGCATCGATACCTTAGAAAACGGCCCGTGACCGCGGAAAAGAGAGTGAGCGAGACTCGAACCGGCCAGTTCTTGATCGGCGGTTTTCGGGCGGAAAGAAACCAAATTTCGAGCCGCTAATTCTGTTCTGGGTAGTTGAGCTCTCATATGTCACGTACAACTAAAAACCTCGGCGAGCATAAATACCCTGTCAGTGTCCCTTTAATTCAGGTGGTGCCTAGGGCAGGGTTTTGTATGAAAACAGATTATGTCACACCATTGTCTCTTTGTAACGCTGCACGTGCTTCGCTTTGGCATTACCAGGGCACAAAGCCTGTGCGCTGAATTTTTGGGTCACCGAGAGAGTGAAAGTATGCTTTCCTGCCCTTTCCACTCCTCCTTGTTTCGCACACTCTTTCTACACCACCTGTTTGTTCTCCTCTCATGTCCTTTCCATACTTCTCCACTCCACACGATTTCTCACACAATACCTGCTTATGCTCCTCCCGTTTCTGCCCGAATCTTGCCGCACCTCTGTTCTCTTGAGGTACAAAGGTTGCCACAATGCTCGCTGCTCAAGTAAAAAGAGGACTCTGACTACTATTGGGGCTCTCACTCCTATTCTTTAGGTGCATATTAATTTTTTATGAACTAAGCTATTAAATGACCCACTGACTGAAAATGTAATAATAAAAAAGAAACTTGTTTGTAGAAAAATGAATTGGGTCCGTAGCTCAGTCAGCACCACACTCGGCTTGCACTCCAATGACTGGAGTTTGATCCCTGGCACCTGCTGCAGTTTTCTTTTTCAAGATAATAACTTAGCGGTTAGACTGACTGACCGACCTACACATTTCGTGCTTATGCAGCTCCTGAGGTGGGTTGACCCTATAAAGCTACCGCTTTAGAAAGAATCAATATAGACAGTATAACTTTCGTACCGACAACTTTTCCCAAACACAAGAAAGCAATGTCATACATATGAGCTGCACTTTGATAAAGTTAACCTTATGCGATAGCCAGTGATTCAGTTTTTACATTCTTGCCAGTCTAAGTGACTCAATCAAAGAGCTTAGTTAATTTCCCCGGCAGTTCTGTGGTTGCGTTGCCCCAAACTTTTAAAGGGCAACTCCGCTCAATTATAAAAATTTTAGGCTTACATGTGATTCCATTTTCCAAAGCACTACTAAGCAGCCCTACGTCTTCAGATTTGCGAAAGGTGGAATATTATTTCTGCAATCTTAGTTTAAACATCAGCAGATACCGAAACCAAAACTTCGGTTGCAACAGGCAACACTGATTTTGTGTCGTCAGAGTCATGGCCACGTCTCAACGAACCACGTGATCCGGAAGGTCACGTGATCCTCCATGCGACGGCGGGCGAACGTAGAGCAAAACGCGAGTGTTGTCTGCTCCACAATTTTTGCCAATGTAGTTTGCTACAACATCCAAAGACGTCTGCACCACTGCAGCCCCAGCTTGCACTCCAGATTGGAATCTTGACGGAGGTGCCCGCAATTTGACGTGGGATTATTGCCGCGATGGCGCCGTGTAACCGATATCTCGGTTAAACGCCACAAGATCCCCAGGTGGTCCAAATTAATCATTAGGCCTCCGCTTGGGCGTGCGATATGCCCTTCGTAGGTCTGGCACATAAGGCTCCAACTTCACATTTATTTTACCAAAAATAGCTGAGTCTTCGTGCCTGGTTTCTACAGACATATATGCTCAAATACTGGGAAACGGCCGGCACGTAGTGACCAACACGGTGATTGTTTGACCGTGCATGTGTCTCCTGCTTTAGTAACCTGAATTGTGTACCTTTATGAAGCTGTGAGGCAGACTACACATTTATTGGCAATAGCAAAATAGTCATAGAAAATAATGAATGCCGTGATAAGTATGCTCCAGTGCACATTCATTTGGTTTCACAGCGGAACTGATCTTTTGATTCATGTTTCGCTATTTAGCTGGTAACATGCAGCAAATTAGTTAGTGTCATGAGCACAAGCAATCAGAACTAGTCTTGTGTGAATAGCGCATTTTCAGTTCGAAGTGAATTCGAAGCGAATAGTAGTTTTGGCCGAATATTTTCGATTCGAATATCGAATAGTTTTTTCACGCCTTTCACTACCATACCATAATGCTTAGACGAAAATCCAGCTAAACTTGTGAAGGTTGTTCCACTTGTTCATTTATAAGCTTAGTTTATTTATCTATATTTATGAACTGTGACCTCAGAAGGTCTGATGTCTTGGGATGGCAGGTAAATGACAGATTTGACATAAAATGAATCCTATAGAGATGGCCAACCATACCCAATTGAGTGAATTTACAAATCTTGCTATATAAAATATTCTTTCTTTAATCTTGAGTTAAAAAAGAAAGAACCGCACATGATGGACGCAGGTTGTAAGGGCATCTCTGTCTAACATAGCATACTCTTGCATAACAGTCAGTTTAATTTTGACACGTTTACTACAATGTAGATATACACATTCCCAAAGTTTCCATTTATTTTCAAATACAACCGGCACGCGTGCACCGTCCCGCTTTGAATGTATGCTTTTCTTCAAAGCACGCAATTGCAATATTCATACTTTTCCAAGTGTTTATCGCGGCGGGTTACCCCGTTGAGTGCGCTTCTTACCCAGCACCGGTGTAATGCAGAGAAGCAACATGCGGGTATTGCTTCTCCGCAGTGCACCCATGCTCCGTAAGAAGCACACTCAATGGGGCTAACCCACAGCACTCAACACTTCAAAAAAGGCGAATAGTGCAGTTCTTCTCGAAACGAATACCGAATAGAGTACTATTCTAAACTACTATTTGAAATTTCGAATATTCGCACAACCCTAATCGGAGCAAATCATTGTTCTGCGATTTGGCGACAACGGCTTCCCGGAGTTCACCGGCACGGGATGTCCATCCATACGTTCAGAGGCGCACTGTCGTGTGGAAACTTGTGAACGACGACTCCCGGGCTGGTCAAGTGGTAGTTCAAGCAGGCAGCTACACAACATCATGAGCCTATGGATCTTTCACCAGGCATCGCAGCTAGGCATCGGAGATGCGGCCCGCGCCCGTACCGTAAACAAGACATTCTCTACAACAGCGGCGGGACGGAACAGACTGCTCCCAGCCTCCAGCTCCGAGAGGCGTGCAGGGCAGCGCAAACTAGCGCATCCGGGTTACGGTGATCACGTGGACACCGTTGAGCAACAACGGGAGGCAAAACTCACCATCTATCAATTTCGCTCTGAGAAGCAAAAACAAACAAAACGTGAGAATGATGTAGACAGGCCTCTGACGTAGTGGCTCAATGTTGGCTGCTCCAACTGCGTGGTATTGACTGCGCTGTTGACTGTGCCTCACGTCGCACGCTAGAGTTAGCAGATTTCGGCGACTTCGCTCATTTGAAAGTTTGCTGGCCAGTTTGTTAAATAAATATGCGGAATTGGATCGTAATATTTGACGTTTGGTCTTCCTAGATTGTACTGAAGAGGGCTGCATAGTTTTCTCAATGTCAAAAATGAAGCAGAGTTGCCCTTTAATGGCACTAAAAAATCAGTATGCACCTGTATCTATCAAAGTGCCCCACGAGGTGCCTTGAAGGTGCAGCTCTTAAAAACCGGGTGTGCCTGTCTGGTTCTAATATTCACACCTCTCCCTCTGCCCTATACAAATATTTCTAAAAGACTAGAATTTGGTACACCACTACAATTTCATAAATTGGTAGTGGTGTTTTACTTCACATTTCATGTCTTGGCACCCTGGCATGGCACTCCCTTTCATTTGTATGGCTGGCTAACTACCAGGATTGCAGAGAACTACTGAGGTGTTTCTTTAGAGGCACGTGTGGAATAATCTTTTGCTTTTAAAGCAATAGCTTTATGGGCAACACTTTGCAAGAATTTAAGTGTCAGTGTTTGTAGTTGTCTGTCATCACAGCAGAGATAGAAAAAGCCTTCTCTCCCCTCGTGGCACAAGGAGAGGACGACGCCTAGAGGATGACGCCTAGAGGATGACGCCTATAGGACGACGCCTAGGACGACCTTGAGGACAATGCCTAGAGATGATAACAAGGGATCAGGACCTCACTATCTAATAATGCCAAGGAAGGCTGACTTACGCTGGTTACCCCCTCTTTTTATTTTTATTTATTCATACTTGCCACAACCAATGGGGAATTTTCTCTCAACATCCAAGGACGCATTTTTTCCCAGATCCTAGGGCACAACAGCTTCACTGTAAAAGTGGGTGGGCCACTTTTACAGTGAATATCGCACTCGGGATATTACAGTAAACACACGAGTCGAGTCGGAGGCATGTTCCGTGTAGCGATCAAAGTGGCCAAATACGTTTGCAGAATGCTCAAGTAAAGGCTTTCTTTGTCTATGTTTTGGTTTGGATTGGGTTTTTATGGCGCAAGGGCTGCTAAGGCCAAAGAGCGCCACTTTGTCTACATCATTTGTCAGTGCCCAAAACTTGACAAAACTTGAGCCAGTAGAAAAGGCTATCATGCCTGAGGCTGACAATTCGACACATCTCATGTTGGATTGGGAAATGCAAGACCAGGCCCCATTGCCCCATTTTTGGACTCACCTGTTCAGTGCAAATGCGTAGGAATGCTGAATAGCCGGCGTGGACGTGAACTTGATGCTTGGCACGGCCTGGAGGTCGTCCATCAGCTTCACCATGGCATCATAGTCCTGAGCTCAAGAACAAGTGTTGTTTTTATTAGTATTTGTAATTAAAAGAGAGAACACTCATCTTTAGGGTATCTTAATGATGCCCTAGTATTGGTGACGGCTCGAAATGAAAATAAACAATGGTTGACAGACAGCCAGACATTCCTGAGAATGCATGTCATACTTCCAGCTCTCCAATCCTGCTTTCCTGGTAGCCTATATAAACAAGAACCAAGAGCTGGAAGGGTAGAGTGACCAGACGTCCCGTTTTGGCCGGGACAGTCCCGTTTTTCAGGTCCGCTTCTGCCATCCCGTCTTTTTGTCCCAATAATCACATCCCGTTTTCGAGACATGATTCTTTTTTTTATATATAAAAGTATGCAGACTTTTACAATCGAGTCTTGCACGATAAAGTCCTGCTTAGGAAACTTCAGTCGTCAGCAAAATACGCCCACACCAACGAAGGATGCGAAGCAGTGCGACTGTTCCCTAGACCCTAGGGCTTAGTGCAATATGGTAACGTTCTGAAATGAGAGCAGTTATTTCATTAAATCTTTTCTCCCAATCTCAATCTTTCAACATTTTAGTCGCATTCGTTCTGTCGCACGCGTACCCAACAAAAATAGTTTATGGGTTTCTTATTGCTTTTTGTTTTGTTTTTTTCAAATGTGGTACAATGCTTTCTCAATGACTTCGGGAAAATACATGCACCATGAAACACAAAATACAGCGGGAAAAGACGAGAATTTAGCTGCCAGCAGTGTTTGAAACTGCGCATATGCAAGCTGCGCCTATCAAAATCTCAGTCCACTCGGTTAGGGTTAAAAGGGACGCCGATGAGAGTCTAGCCTCAAACCCAGTGAATGGGCTCGAAAACAGTTTGCTGCCCCTTGGGTCGAGTGTATCTTGGAAACGTGTATAGCATGGCCTCAGGATAGGTGACGCAGGCTGCTACCTCGCCTGATGCAATAATACATGCTGCGTTTGTGAGTCTGGATATGCACCCATTGGCGCTTCGTATTCTCTATTTTTTCAAATATTGAAAGAAATGTTGAGAACTCGCTCGCTATAGTTCCTTTCCTATGTATGTTTTTGACTCTGCTGCGATCACTGTAGAATAAAGTATGACACGATTAGTATGCCACTCAAGTTATGGCCTAAACATTTTTTCTAAACTACCCGCTTTGGGAGCTGTCACAGATTTTTCACATTGGGAATCTGGCAGTTAAGGGGATCGTCGTCGACGTCGCATAAACTACAAGAGGTGTGCCACGTTTAGGCTATTTCATCATTAAAATGTTTAGCCAGAAAATACGATGGACTATCTTTTAGAGTGTGGATCCTTTCAAAACTTTGCAGCACATCATAACATTAACAAAATGCTAATCTTTCATCTATATTACTCTTCTAAATAAGGTAAGCACTGTCCGAGTGCACATGGCCCCACAAGTCCGAATAAGGTGTGCAGAGGGTGCACGCACCAAGCACTCCGTCTCGCATACCTGGATGTCCCTGAACGAGATGAGCATGCTGAGAACAACATCGCCGGAGATGATGTTGGGGTCGTCCAGCCTTTTCCTGAAGTTCTGAAGAGTCTGCAGAACACAAGGTGTGCACTGTTACAGTCCTCCCTGCAACACCACGAACAAGCCATGACCTTGTCGACGCCACGAAATGGTTCTCAAACTGAACAAAGCTTTCAAAGAGGTGTCAGAATCCCTTGGTACGCAGATAATATCCCTCCTAATTTCATGTGTGCCAACGTGAAGCGTAAGCATGAAGCACACGGATGCCTTGATACCGGTCAAGCAGTCATGCCTGTCTCACTGATGGGCAAAGTGTTAGTGGAGTTCATAGAGTCTGTAACTGTCTAATACCCTAGTTACACAGGCCTTTGAACTGTCGTTGAGTTCAATCACTGTTATCAGCCCCAACTGTGATTGAACTGAATGAAATGGTGGTACACGGCTCTTTATAACCCAGTTAAAGCTAAAACGAAACTAGTTCTTATGCCACGTGATCAGTCTAATTGCTAAAGTAATTTACTTGGAGACACAACTTTTATTTGTGTACATATTGTACAATATGTTCAATACCTTGTTGCTTTTTAGCGGTGTTTACACGAGCAACAATGCGGATTCAGGGCTAGGTTGCACATATTTTACGCTAGGTGGTGCAAGCTAACGCTAGCTACGATGGGTGCACTCATTACTATTTGACCATTTATACAGCTGGTCCCTCCGCCATCTTCGCTTGTCTGGTGGCTTGCCAGCTATCCGGGATCGTTTTAGCAGCAGCTCAGATGCCTAAATCTACTCCTTCCCGGATATTTTGCTGCTACGATTCTTTTTAGACACCTCCCCCTGCATTTTGAAACAATAAGTGCTTCGCAAACGATGGTCGGCGGCAGCGGTCTCGCGGACAGGTGCCATTTTACCTCCGTTGGGGAAGTCCGTTCAGTTGAACTGAGGTAGGGCAGCTCAGTTGAACTCAACTGTCATTAGCGGCTCGATGACAGTTGGCACCGCCGTGTAACTCCGGCCAATTGCGATTGAGTCAACTGTCAATGACTCAATGGCAGTTGAGAGCGCCCGTGTAACTAGGGTATAAGACGTTTCATCACAAAAAAGGGCAAACTGGTTTTGCAGCCTCTCCTACGTATCAGCTCACAACTTTGGCAAACTGTAGACTTAAGCACATACCTGCCTCATTCATGGGCTACGCAGTGCCTATCGCTATCAAATGAGCATACAAAACGTGACAGAGTTAGTATGAACACACAATCACAATTTTATTTTTCAATTTCTTTTTTCTTTTACAATTGAAAAACTGTCGTTAAAGCTATATTAATTTAGATGTACTTATGAAAGATATCAAGGTAGGCAGTATAATTTAGTGCCTGACACTGAGCTCTATGGGTATACATTGTAAAAAGGTTCCAATGTTGTGTTTGTGCTAACTATATAGACCGTGCAGCACACACTTGTTGGTAAGCAGTGGAGTGATGCATAAATGAATGAACAGGCACAAGGGCACACAAAATCTGCTTGGTCACACTCGGACGGCTTACTTTTGCGAGCTCCTCGCCTGTGTACATCTCCCGTGCTTTTCTCAGGTCAGTCAGGAACTTCTCCTTCATGTGAGCCCTGGAGCATCCAAGATAAAATTTGCTTGTCACATTACCAGCGTCCACATCAAAGAGGCCAATAAAGAAAAATGGTGCCCACTTTTCTCTTTTAATAGCATTGATAACCACCGTATGAAATAAGCCTTAAAAGCTGCACCGAGCTCTTACCAAAAAAAAAAGAAACAGTCACGATGGTCACAAGACTTCAAACATGCCAGCGAGGTTTACTGTACTCATCTTAGGCACAAGCAAAGCCAAACCTATTTGTGCAAGCCCTGTGCTTTGGTCACAGATGCCATGCACATGCATTAGTGCAGTGCAGGCACCGTTCAAAACAACAGCCTTGCATTTATAGCTTCCACTTTGCATGCACTTAAGGTGAAAAAAAGAATAGATTGAACATTAATTATTTAGAACAAGCTACTTCCTAAATTGTCACAAATTAAGGAAGAAAACACAGAGACAGACAAGACACAGTGAAGGCAAAAAAAAAGTGCCTTTCAATGGGATACATTTTTAGTCTTTCTGCATGCTAATTCCAATGAGTCCCCTCTGCACTTTAGTGCTCCCGAGTTCTTTCATGGTTAAACCGATGCTAAGAAAAAAATGCTTTGTTTGTTGTTTACACTTTAAAAAAAACATTGCAATGCTATATGTCACCATCATGCCATCCCTACTCTAAAATCCAAAGATGGTTCCATTTAGTAGGTATGAAAAGCAAACCAAACGAGCATGTTTGTGAAGAGAGCTAGTCTTACGCCACTACAGGTGAAAATTCACAGGGTCTCTTATCTTATCCCTAAGACGACAAGCCCAAGCGCAGATGCATTACAGACAGACACATGATTTATCTGCTGAGTCATCCCTCTTAATGTGCTGAGTCATCCTGCTTAATGTGCTGAGTCATCCTTCTCAATGTGCTTAGTCATCTTAATTCGCATAGTCATTCACTGAGTGGTCATGTAAACGTTTTGGTACCCCTTGTGTCCGCCCACGTGTTTTCACTCAAGGACTTGAACAAGGAGACATATAAGGCTTTCGCCTTAATATCGAGCTTGTCCTTTTTTTGTCTTTGGGGTTAGGTTTGGGTACATTTCCAAAAGACGAAAACAAATAATGTTTTGGAAACTTGGAAGTTGATTGCACTTCTCAAAACAATAGAACCGCCTTGATATAATCTCAAATGATGCATATAGATGGCTGTTAAGTTCACAACCCCTGGTCCCATTGAACTTCCATAGATCTGTGTATCAATTTCCTGTTTGTTGCATTTGCTTTCCCAGGGGGGTTATGCAAGATGGCAGGACGAAGGAATCGTTGGCCAAACGGTACCTTAAATTTCCTTTCCCAAGTCAAGCCGTTTTCAGATGGATTATGCTCCTATTGGCTGGCGCGTGTCATCAAGGAACGAGGCTTCCACTGGCTCTTGTGTGACATAAGTAAAAAAAAAGCCACTAGAGAAGCCCTGTCCATGGCAGCGCAGCGCACGCAGCGGCGCGGCCGTCGGTAAATGGAGGGGGCAATGGCAGCAGAGCCAACAGAGCCCGTCCGGGCAGAATCCAGAGAGGCCGCACGGCCAAGCTCAACGCAGTGCGGCCACTTCACAAAAGCGTGCACTCGGCCGTCCGCCGGCGAAATGTGGCCGTCCACGCCACTACGCCGCAGACAAGACTAAGGGAGCGGAGAAATGACATTAATGCTTTCGCATTCACAACTCAAGTGCTTAAATGTCCTCAAACTTTTTTTTTTTTTAACGTATTTGTAGTTTTTTAGAAGCCACAAAAAATGGATATTATGTTTTTTTTTTTAGTTTTAATATTGAGTGTGTGCCTTCAATGACCCACGACTTTGATTATATGTGGTGTGTGTGTCCAAACCATAAAAAATGGCACGTGACCACAAAGAAGAGAGTGGGCATGACTCAAACAGGCTAGTTCTCGATTGGCGGTTTTTGATGCGGAAAGAAAACGAATTTTGAGCTACAAATTGTGTTTTGGACACTTTGGGTCACATATGTCATGTACAAATAAAAACCTTGGCGAGCATAAATGCCGTTGGTGTCCCTTTAAGGTGTCGCCAGCAATATGGGCCCATTGGGACCACCAAGTGGAATCACCGACATTTGCATCTATGCCCCACCGTTCCGAAGCGGCCTGAATGCATGGGACCTTTCCCTGTCGATTATTATAATAACTCTATGGTCGGCGCTAGGGGAGACAGTGTTCTGTCGCAGTCGTGGACTGCATACCCAATCCCAGAGGCAGTGCATTACCTGTCTGTCGGCGCTCAGGGAGGTGCAAGGTTACATCACCGCTTTAATGCTACAATATATTTCCCATCTCTCCTACCATCATCCTATAATCAATTGCGTGCGCCCAAAGACGAGTTTCGTCTCCAAAGATCAACTGTAAGTCGCGTTTCTATCTGCACTTGTTTCGATGGCCTGTGTGACTTCTGAGTAAATACGCTTGTGTTGTGTCTCGACATTTGTTTTGTTCAATTGATTCTGTGACTAACAAATAAATCTGTTCTATTTCATACCTGTGTTTCATTCCATTAGTTCCATTATATCAAAATAAATTTGTTGCATTTATTATGCGTTTTATTACACTGGACTCGGCACGTAGACGTTGTGACGCCTAAAATTGTGTCCATGTCGTATACACAGCTTAACCATTCTTTTGCTGTGCCCTGTTACCCCCCACTTCCACCCTCATCCTCCTTTTTTAACCTCCTTGCCTCTCTGAGCTTGCTTCTTATCATTCGTGCCCGAGCGGGTATGTCCTTGGACTAGGCTTGAAAGGGAATCATTCCTTTGCAATTGTCCGTTTATTTTACCCTGTTTTTCTCCAACGCACTCACTCGCTTCTCTTGTGCTCTGTTTCCTCAGTTCTGCTAGTTGCATTTTGCATGGTGCTCAAGACTGAAAACTATGCACCATGCATGGCATGCAGACATACATTGAGTCAAACCGCACTGCCTCGCACCGCCATGTTAGGAGCGGCAGTTGCCGTGGGGGAGCATCTGCATTATCTTGATTGGCTTGAGAATTCTGCTTAATTTCATAGGTTGACAATCTTTCATTACCATCATAGATATGCCCCCAGTTTTAAAGAACAGTCCTAAAAAAAAATTGTCAACCTACCGCAGATTCGAATCAAGGGAGTTTTCCACAGTCGCGAAAATTCGTGGAAATAAATTACTGGGTGAAAGTTGCTTCCAGTCTTATCTCTACTTCCCCAAAGGTGCGATCGGTCGTTACATTTTCTTAGATCCTACGTTCTTTGATTCCAGTACCCTGAAAATTGTACCAGAGGGGTTCTACCATAACGCAAACCTCAATTCAAGAAATTTTGCGTAAAACAGAGCTTCCCATTTTTCCGAAGGACTTCATTAACATTTAGCTGTATTCTGAATTTACGAACACCAATCCCTGAGTATTTAACATTTTATTTAATTCATATTAAACTCTGCAATTTATCAATTTTTCAAGAAAAATGTAGAAATTTGCGAAAGGCACGGTATCAATCCAAGCTCCTCTCTATTAATCAGAAAAGCATGGTGCCCTTTTCCGAAGAACAATTTCTTGGGACTAAATGCTGTAAGTCGGTAGAGAGACCTTTCAGCCGCCCACAACGCAAACTTCCTGCAGGAAGTTTGCGTTTTGATGACGCTTCAGCATCAGCCCTGAACGTGCATGCGCAGTAGAAGCACGACGAAACACAACGAGCACGTGTTAGAGGCATCCGAGAGAGGCACCCTGCTGTCCTCTCCCCGTCAGGGACTAGAGATGCATTTATGCTATTAGCAGCTTTTTATAAGTAGTGTAGCTCTGGGCATGTGCAAGTGGAACGTCCAACGGCGCAGCTCTGGCACTCACTTTGTCTGGACTTCGACGTCCTGCAAGAACTTTTTGAGCTTGACGTGCAGGGGCTGTTTGGACTCAACGGTCTCTTCGGACACTATGGCCATCCCGGGAGGCTCCGTGACCACGCACACCCCGGCATCGTTCACTTTGTAGGTCGACAGGGGGTAACTTGAGCAGGCAATCTGCAGCCGGAGCAGGAGGAGGGCCACAATTACGAGGTCTCACCCCAGATACAAACGCTATTTTCTGAAGCACTAAAATGGCTAACTGAGTCAACTGGAACATAACCTAAAAGAAAAGCGTAAAAGACACAGGAGCAAAGATGAGAGAAAAACTAAGTAACTTCCCAAGCTGTGCCCTTGTGTCATTGGTGTTCTCTGAAAACCCAAAAAGAAAGTAGATCATGATCAGAACCACCTCCTCCCGTTCACCCATTGACCATAGACTGGCTTTAGCTTCCTACGGCCAATTGGTAAAACCATAACTGCAGACGAGTCTTTGGAAGACGCTGAAACGTGATGTCACGCGACATCGCACGACATGGTCACATGACGAAATGTCACGCTACACCACAACCGGTCATTGACCGGTTGTGCTGACTGCCCTGCCATGGAGCATACATGCATGCACAAACACAAACTTCCTGGAAGTAGGGGCTCCTGTTATAAAGCATTTTATGCTTTAAGACAAACGAAGCAAGCAAGTTGACCACTGTCAAGCTGAAAAAGCTGGAGCTGACCTTGATAGAGTATGCTTCCCCGGGAGTGTGGTCGTTGTAGAGGATCATGTTCTGCTTCATGCCAAAGCTCTCCCGCACTCCCAGGTGGTAGAAAAGGGGATTCCGCTGGTCCTGCTCACAGGGCAAGAGGAATACATTTATTTGCTAGAAGAATACCGTGCTTATATATGTCTATGCAATCTGAGGAACCATAAAAAATTACACAGATGGACTCAAGGCAAAAAGAAGCACACTCAGGCTGAGTTTAAAACAAGTCAGAAAGTTAGTCAGCTTCAAGCTGGCACCTGATGTCTCCATTGTAAATGGGCAGTTTAACCAGTAAAGTGTAACTGCTGATCTGGGGTCTATAATGCCCATCAGCCATTCGGGAGATTGGAGATTAAAAGGCCTTTTTGGAGGTGTGCCATGGAAGAACTTCTTATAACAATAAGGTTTCTTTGAGCTATGCACAAATGAGAACACTGTAAATCTTGCCAACTGTCAATTCATTCTCAGTTTTATAAAGCTCAGCATTGCATGTATATAGTAGACTCTCATTAATTCAAACTCCAGGAAGCCATGAATTTTGTTTTAATTGTCAGAAATTCATCCTAATATGCTGCAAGATAAAATTAAAATTTGCCATATGAATGGCTACACACAGTGGCGTCACTAGGGTCAGCGGCACCTGGGGCGGTGGCCAGCCGCGACAACCCAGCCCCCGCCCCACTTTCGTGGCCCACCGCCGACCTCTCCCACAACCCCAACCCTCTCTTGTGGCCCGCCGTGACATGCACCCTCCTGCTCTCGTGCCCGCCGCAATGAACACCCCCCTCCCCTCCCCCCCCCCCGCCCCCTCAAGGACACCCCAAGTGCTGCAGTGACTCAACTGGCTACACAAACAAAGCAGATATTTGATGATTTTCCCTACATAAGCCTACTAATGATAAGCAGGTATGCCACACAAGAAACATTTGTGAACTGTATGACAAGTTTATTTATCACTCAAAAACGTTGTTTATCATGGACTGCTTACACAGCACATGAGAACTCAAAACAAAATTAAGTTAGTTCATCAGGCCAAGAAGTTGTCTAATGTGAACTATAAAGCAGGGGGCACATGAGTGATAAAAACGGGCACAGCGCGGCAGTTTTAATAGCAACTTGCGCGGACGCTGCGACATGGACCAATACTGTGCCACCACGTCACACCGGTGCACTGCAGAGAAGCAACAGCCGAGCAAGCAACCTCCGCGGGTGTTGCCTTTTTGCAGTGCACCAGTGCTCGGAAAGAAGCGCACTCAACGGGGTGGCGAGAACAAAAAGTAGGAATTACACGAAAACGCCGTTCGAATTAAGCAGCTTATAAATATATTAGAAACATAGAAGGGCAATCAAAATTTTGATATTTGTTTGACTTAATTAAAATTATAAAACATCCGAGTTTGAATTATTGCGAGCCTACTGCAGTTGTTTTTACTTCCTCATTTATGATAGAACCAAATGCCAACCTTCCGGTCTAATATTAGAGATAGGAGCCCCTCCTGCATAAGGGTGCTCTTAAAAATGGGACGGAAAACCCTAAAAAAAAAGACAGATCAACGGAGAGTTTCGTTAAATGCAATAGCAATATCGCACAAACACCATGGTAAGACTTTTAGCATGTATGATTTAATATCTTTAAATGCATCAGATTCCACGTGATTAAAAAGCTGCAATCCACCTAACATTTGCAAGTATAGGTGTTGCCGTACAGCACGAACTTCGATCCAAAATGCTTACCATATGGAATGCTAAAGTCAGGTACAAGTTAAAAGTGTGCCAAATAAACATCACCATGTAGCAGCCACAGCATTGGATCACTCCACAGGTAAATCAGAAAAGGCTAGTAGGCACGATGAATCACACGTGCGCCTCTGCAGCAAACTATAAGCACACCGCGGAGGAACAGTGGGCAGCAGTAATCAAGGGTGTGGAAGGAGCTGCAAGCACATCCTAAACTTGTATCCAACCGTGGCAATTTTACTGCACGTATTCTAAAGGCTGGTTTACACATTCGTGTTCGAGCCTGATCGACCGCTTACAATGCTGGTGCCATCTATCAGAAACACTTCCAATCTCAGTATGTTTCCTCACTTTTTTTATGCATCATTCTTTCATTATAGGCTTGAAATAATTCTAACAACAGCAACTATTTCTCGTAAACAGTGGTGTAGACTTGACCTCGCAAATACTGCAAAATGTTCCTCTGGTTCTACACAGATAGGAATTGTTTCCAACGCTACCTGATAGACGGCGCCGGTATGTCCGCTCCTCGTAAGAGGTCGGAAGCCATCATAATGCAGTCGATCACGCCCAAACGCTGTGTTCGAACCAGCCTATGCTGTACTCACACTGGCATTCAAATTGCAACCGCAGAGTGGATCTGCTCGCTTTTATCATCAAATGCGTGTGAATTTGTATTGAATCTTTAGGCAACCGCATTCACAACTGCCTCGCAGTCGCAGTTCGACCACCAATGTGAGTGAGGCATTAAGGGTCGCCAGGCTGCACCATAGATCTGATGCACGAACCTGAATCGATACATCCACCACGGCGACGTCGGCGTTGTAGAAAAGGTCCAGGACCTTGGTCTCTCCAAAGTCCAGCTTCTTGAACGGCAGCTCGTGCAGGTCTGCTCCAACGCAGCGCGAGGCCTTCTGCACCTCCTCGTACGCCGCCTTCCTCTGTGCAAGGCGCCCCATGCTGGAACCGCTGCCAGTAACCTGCGCACATCATTCCAAAATGTCAGGGCACGCTGAGTCCAGCACCCTTTCACACGCCTGTCAGCATAGCAATCCACCACTTTCCGAAGCGCTAGTGCCCCTGCCGGAGACCCAATTTGAGGATCCCTTGGTAGGAAAGTCGAGGAAACAGAGGGTGCCGTTAGGAACCTAATGACACCCATTGTTTGGCCCGAGCAAGCTCTAACTTGTGTGGACAACGCTCAAGCTGCCGATAAGTGGGAGATGTCGTCACCAGGTCAATGACACAGACGACGTCCATCCTGCTCCGGGGACAGGCACTGGCAACACTGCAGCAAGACTTGGCATCTGCTTCACTCATGGCAGGGCAGCTCTGCTTGGCTGGAACCTCCTCCGAGTTCCAGCACAAGGATTTTCTGGGCACAGAAGAAAAAGACGACAATCAGGTGTTTAATGGAACAGCGGCTACAGTGGTGCGGAATAAGCTCCTCACTGATATGGCATTACTCGGAGACCTTCGACAGTGAAGAAAAATCTGAAGATTGCTCAAAGAGATACTGGAACAAAAGTACAAATGTACATACCCCATTTAAACCTAAATTACTAAAGAAAATGGATAATCACAAATCATGTCACACTTGTACGTTGAATGGTTTGCTGCGTAACCCAAAAGCAGCCAGCTCGATAAGCATCTTGAGGCATCTGTGACATAACCTGTCTGACCGAGTCACTCATCATTGCCAACACTGGCCCGTTTACAAGCGCCACCACTTGGCGGCATCATTGTATCATCACCTTGGCTGGTCTGAATGTGCAGGGACTGCACAAATACACTTTATCTTTGCTCTTAAGCCATTTCTCTGTCTCCATATGTCAATATCTGTTAATGCCAGTGCTTTTGTGCCGGAATTTGAGAACCCCAATGGTCAATAATTAAGAAAAGAACAAAAGGCAAAATGCATTTTTGCAAACTATGAAGTCTGACAATTTTCTGAACCTGAAACTTAACTGAAAAACACTGATGGCCTGATACTTGCTGCCTGATAGGCTGAAAGAACAATTAATGACTTAGTTTTAGAAATTACTGCTCTTCAAAAGTTCCATCACCTTTACACCATGCACGTACAATAAAATGTGACTTGCACGGGTTCCCATGTAAAGTGCGCTGGGATTGTTTCACCTTTCAAGCAAGACTCAGTTATTGATTAGAGTTTATTCTTACAACAGTTACACATATATTTCCCTCCTTACCACAGGTGGGCTAGGTACATTGCCAAAATACTCTAGTTTTCCAATTCATTATTGCCAGAAAATCTGTGCTCCGACAGACAATAAAGCCAGGAAATGTAAGCTGCATTCAAAAGTCAAGATAAAGGTCGCCTGATACGTACCAAGAACAGTTGTTGAAAAAAATTGAAAACATGCCGTACAAAAACAAATGACACCAATTTCACACTGCATTCACAGAACAAGGCTGCACAAACAAAGAGGCAAACATACCGAGGACACTGAAGGTCCCCCTTAGAAAGAAATGAATCCTCAGACTCCCCTGCGCAGTTGTGATGAGAGGTGTGAAGCAACAGGACCCAGAGTTAGAAGTGCTGAGTACCGCTGGAAGCCGTGTCAATAAAATGACGAGAACAGCACCAACTGAGGGCTTGGTCGAAGAGATTATTGCACCCATCGTAATAAAGTCACCTACTTCTCTGTTAAATCTTACGGAGAATTACCACTGGGGCATCTTCAACTCCCAAGTGAGTATAGCATCCCCCACTGCACAGCATTTCTGATATAGATGGTATTAGAGGCGGTAATTGTTAACTATTTTCATACAAATAAAATAGAATTATTGTATTTTCCGGTCTATAGTCTGCAGCTAATGTATAGTCGTCTACAGAGGTTAATTTGGGGTCTAAATAAAAGATTTTGCTTAGGTAGTCCGCACCTGGTGCATAATCCACCTTTAGTGCATAGTCCGCACTTAGTGCCTAATCCAAACGTAAAAATTATTGTACACAGTACACCTTGACAAATGCCTGCTGCATATTAGCTCACAAAGAAGCTTGTATCATGCATAAATCAGCATTAACCTACTCTGCTATTTATACAATTATTCACGTCTTGGCACAGTGAAGCATCCAAAAAAAAAAAAAAAATCCTTGTAAATTCCGCATTTGTAAATAGTACACACAGAGTACAAATTCAACTTTTAAACATGTATAGTCCGGAAAGTATTGTACTAGTATTAGACTGCTAATTGTCGCTGCAATGGCAAAGGTTGTTTTCATAAAAGAGGTGAAGGTGATTACTGCATAAACAGTTTGGCAGTTGTAACCTCAGACTAAATGAACTAATTATGTGTCAACAATGATTCATTCAAACTTTCATTTCAAAATTATTTGTTTCTTTTGTAGTACAACTGTTAAGTAGGTGCAAGCTATCAGGGCACAAGCCATTTCCGACAATACATGACAAACCTAATATACATAATGTTTTGTCATGAACAACAAGGTCCCCTTGAGCAGAGAAAATTATGAATGTATGCCTCTGCCATTGTGTTGAATATGCCGCTTCCTTCTCCCTACACAATTTGTGTGAGCATGTTCACATTCACAAAATTAGACATAAGAACAAATCCCTAATAGGTAGGCATGCTCAAAGAAAGAGTTCGCAGTTGTTTATTTATTTACTTATTACTGTACCCTCAGGGCCCAAAGGCAGTACAGAGGGGAGTGATGCAAAAATCAGTAGAAAGAGTAAAACAAAATACGGGAGACTTGGTAACCAAATGCAAAAATAAACAGAATATGAAGTAATAAAGGCATAAAAAAATGAAAGCCGTTTACAACTCCCTGTAACGCCGAATTAGAGCGCAGCTCTTGAGGAGGAGGGAAGGTTACTGGGGGGTGGGTCAAGTGACCTCGGGGGGTCACGTGACCTTGGGGGTCACGTGACCTTGTGGGAGTCACGTGACCTTGTGGGAGTCACGTGACCTTGGGGCGTCACGTGACGTCGGGGGGTCACGTGACCTGGGGCCACGTGACGATGCCGATGACGTCGTCAGTGACGTCACTGATGACGCCATCAGTGATGATGATGATGACGATGCGGATGCCGGTGACGTCACCAGTGACGTCACTGATGACGTCATCAGTGATGATGACGATGACGATGCGGATGCCGGTTACGTCATCAGTGACGTCACTGATGACGTCATCAGTGGCTATGACGTCAACGGGGGGTCACGTGACCTCGGGGGGGGTAACCCTAGTAACCCTTGTGAGGGCAACTCTCGTGACCCTCGTGAGGGTAACTCTCGTGACCCTCGTGAGGGTAACTCTCATAACCCTCGTGACCCTCGTGAAGGTAACCATTTTGAGGGTAACTAACCCTCGTTACCCTCGTAAGGGTTACGAGAGTAAGTAACCCTCACGAGGGTTACTTACCCTTGTGAGGGTTACCCTTTTGAGGGTAACTAACCCTCGTAACCCTCGTGAGGGTTACGAGGGTAAGTAACCCTCGTGAGGGTAACCCTCGTGAAGGTAACCCTTTTGAGGGTAACTAACCCTCGTAACCCTCGTGAGGGTTACGAGAGCAAGTAACCCTCGTGGCCCTCGTGATCCTCGTGAGGGTAACCCTCATGAGATTAACCCTCGTAACCCTCGTAACCCTCACGAGGGTTACGAGGGTTGCAGTTACGCCGACGCCGACGGCGACGCCGCTCAAGCCGGGAACGGGCCCCTAAGAGCTGCGCTCTAAAAGATAAGGTTAGAAAATAGACAGAAAGGCATATTATAAGGGAAAGTAGGTGGTCAATGCTTCTCTAAAGAAGTCATTTGACGGTATACTTACTAAAGGTGTGGGAAGGTGGTCCTGCCCGGTAGACGTTTTAGGAACGAATGTGTTAATGTAAGCACAATGAGGAATTCCAACTTTAAATTGATGACCTACACGTGGAGAAATAAACGGGGGGCTCAGCATTAGTGTGTCTTTCAATAAATTGTTGGAACAATAAATTTTATTTTAATAAAAACTTAAAATTTTTTTTTTTACGTAATCAAAAAGAAGGAAGGGATGAATTAGATATCGTCAAAGAAATTTGTTCATAATTAGAGAATATGAAATGTATTCGCCATCTTAAATACAAAAGCACAAAGGACAAGGACAGAACGAAGATACGAAGAGGACAAGCGCTTACTATCAACTGGGTAAGAGTTACACATTTTTGTAAGGCTTCAAAGTCATCCACGAGCGTTGCGAGAGCTGAATGCCTAATTCCTGTATCATAATCTAGTTTAGAATGAACACGAGTTTAATACCTGGAGTTTGAATCCCGGCACCGCCACAGACTTTGTCTTTCGGCGGTTTCAAAACATCCAAGTATTTCAATTATACAATAGTACAGTTGAATCTCGCTAATTCGAACTTGAGGGGGACCGAAAATTTGTTTGAATAAAGCAAAGTTGGAATTACCGGGAGTTTTTTCCTATGCGGAGGGCAAGTTCGTCTGCTTCTTGCGCAGGGGGTAGCGGTGACGTCAGAACGCCGAGCCCTGATTGGCTGATCGCGACCCCCCTATTTGAGCGTCGTCTGCTCCTTTGCAATGTCGTCTGCTCGCAACGTCGTCTGCGTCTGTCTTACCTTTCCTGCGACTTTCGGAAGTGCAGAGGCCAGATGCACGAAACGATCTTACGCCAAAAATGTGCGTAAGACATAACTTAAGAACAAATTCGTATTCACGAAACGAAATTTTCGTAGTTTTGCGCAGGTTACGACGAAATCCTACGACAGCTCCGAAGCTGTCTTACCACTTACGATCAAATCAGCATGGCCGACAGCGTCTCACGCTTCCCGACTTCAAGCAGCAAGAAAAAAGTAAAAAATACTTGAAACAGACGACGACGAACAAGAACGCTGGATCCACAAATACCCGGGAAAAGCTCCGACGGCCACGATTTCACCGAACGCGACCAAGCGAGCACGGCAGTTAGGCCTAGCAGGCACTCCGCGACTGGGCGACCGTGTGCCCACGACCGGCTGGTGTGCTGAATAGAATATGCCCGCGCGACCCTTGTGAACCCTTCCCGTATTATACTTTGATCGCTGACCTCAGTTTTAGATTAAGAGGTCAATTTTTTCCTCTTGTTATCTCCTTGTTTCCTGAGGCAACGGTGACTCTCGCCGGTGAAAAAGCGGTGAATCTCCGACAGACGCAGAAAAGGTAAAGCAGCCATCGCTTTGACTAGCAGACGTAAAGCAGACAACGTTAACTGCGCCAACCCGCCGACGCCGTTGAAGAATGAGGGGTCTCGCCGCACACGAAAGGAGGGAAAAAGTATTTGGGAGGGAACTTGCGGACACTAACACGCTCACTCTCTGTTCTTAGCAGACAAACCTCGGCGCCTCGGGACACCTT